TAGTGCATCTTTAAGAAGCAGAGGAGCTCATTGGTCACTATTATTTTGAATTGAATGTCATTTCTCTCATCTCGTATTAATTTTATTTGAGTTCAGTGCTTGATTCTGAAATCACAATGTTTTTCAGTGTCATATTTCTGTGGTACTTTTTCCTTTCTTTTTCAGTTATATTTATTTTGATACAGACAGAGCATGTGTGTCTCTGATTGGCTAATACACCTGTCAATCACACCCAACTGAACCCATTTAGATTCACCAGTGACCAGACTCACATTTTCGTGTTGCAGAAGTCAATGTTCTGCATTACTGGCAAACTATTGACAATACTAGACCCTTCACTCACCTCCACTGGGCCGAGCCGCCTCTGTCCACAGACTCTCCACTCCGTCCTCTTTGGGCAGGGGGCCTATGGCGGGCAACAGGAGGGGGTCTTGCATCGTCGTCATGGTAACTCCTTCTGTCGACATTTGGGGGCTGATGAACTGTTTCGGGACCTCTTCACTATCCAGAGGTGAGAGCCAACTTTCCGAAGAGTCCTCCTCACCAACATTTTCACTTTCAGTTGGTATTGTAGCAGCTAAGCTAACATCCTGCCCATTTGGTGCCTGTGTGTTTGGAATTTGTCTTGGAGTTTTGACTTCTTTCTTCTTATTCCATTTTCCATCATGGGTCACAGTTTCTATCTCATCCAGTTCAGTGTGTTCTGCAAAAAAGGTAGGATTTAAAATTTCTTCAACTGAATTCAGAATCTTGATTTGAATGGTTTTAAATAAGACCTACTCTGTTGTGTCTAGTTTATATTTATAACAGATTATGTCACACATGGATGATTACTTTATAGTTTGGACATTTTAATTCGCAATATTAATTTAAGACATTAGAAAACTGTAGTGCGTAATGGGAGTTGATGTCTCAGTGCAACTCACCTAGTCCAGGCCTGGTGGAGTCTATATTTAGTGTGGATGCAGCAGTAGTCACTAAATCACTGTCTTGCGTGGGGGTAAGGCTGGAGAGGTAGACCGGAGTACCACTGACACACAAGAAGGGGGCGCTAATGAGGATGAGGCGGAGGAGTATCCAGGCAGTCTCCATCTCTGCCTCTCAGAGCAAACTGCAACAAGAAACAAAGCGGAGGACACATATAAAAGATTATCTACACTACAGTTGAGTTGAATTCATATTTTGATTTAAAGGATACGATTTACTTATGGTAAATAGTGGTCACATTTTTATATAGCACTTTTCCACCTTCAAGGCGCTCAGAGCGCTTTACAACAAGGAACCACTCAATCATACACACACACATTCATACACCAATGTATGCAGGATTAAGTGTCTTGCCCAATGACACAACAACAGCATTCATCTGTGGGAGCTGGAATCATCCTACCAATCTATGGGTCAGTGGAGGTCAAGAGTGGGATTCAAACCGCCAGCCTTTGGATCAGTGGACAAACGCTCTACCAATTGAGCTACTGCCGCCCCATATCTGCCCCCTTATCCTGAAATGTTCCACAGTATAGCATAAACAATATCTGTTTCTCCATGGGGACAAGCAGATGGCCCACCAGGTCAAGTTAAAGGTCAAATCTGTGTAGAGGTGACCCCGCTTATAATAAGTATGCATGTGTTAAAACATGGGTGTCAAACTCATTTTGGTCCCGGGGCCGTATCCAACCTACTTTGATCCCAAAGGGGCCGGATCAGAAAACTCATGTCATATAAACCCCAAAAATAACAATAACTTCAAATATTTGTGCAGAGAAACGAAAATCTATTACAGAAATCTTTTTTAATTGATGAACTCTTTCTTATTATAATATTATAATATTATGATATTATGAACAACCTGAAACTTGAAGAAAAATTCAATTTCAACACAATGTTTTAACAATACTTGTATGCAAACAGGAATAAGTCAATTTTTCTTGGAAAATCCTGCACTCAGCGTCCACTTTTCTCATTTTTGACATTTTGCTGATGGTATTTTTCTGTAGGTTTGATGCCATAAAGTGGAACATTCTTTAAAAAGTAAAAACATCTCCATGCAGACAAGCGGCTTACAGACCTCCCATTATAACATATTATTACATATTGCACTGCACCCATAAGTAATTATTTTATTAAGTCTATAGTATAGGCTCCAATAGTTTAATTAATACACAGAAACCCCTTAACATATTAACACAGTTGAAATGTCTTGCATAAACTGAACCACCAACCTTCTGCGTAGTGGGCGGGTGAGTGATGGGTGTCTTATCTTGACTTGTTTGAAAATGTAGATCTGAATGCTATTTTTGGCTTACTATTTCATTACAGACAAAATAATGTGTTGGTGGTTAAAAAAAAAGCACTGTAATTTTATCCTATCTATAAACCATTTGTAGTAACAGTCAAATTTTCAATAAGAAATAGCCATAGTCAATGAATTCATATAAAATAGTCAACCAGTAGATATCCTATAGTATTTATCATGCATATTTCTTAAGGGCTCCATATTATGCTATTTTCTTATCTATGCTATGTTGTTTCCTCATCAAACATATATAAAGAGTTGTGTTTTGTTTCATTTGACACACAAACCCTGTATATTTAGCTGAGTTCTTCTCTCAAACAGAAAACACTACACACCACACAATATCAAGTGGTAACACAGGAAGAGCTCCACTGTGTTTTTAACTCAATATACCTTCACTAGAATCATTTAGATCATTTCAGCTGTGGAAATGTCAATCTCTGCTGAACTAAAAATAAAAAGTAGCCGCTGAAAACTTGAAAACTACCGGTTCAGGATAAAGTGGAACAGAGCATTTTGAGCTTGTGTGAATGAATCAACAAACAACTCCAGATATGTTTTAGACAAGCTAACAACATTAAAGCTCACAAGAGTCAATTTTGCCTAATATAGGACCTTTAATAAGAAGAAATAGTAATAGTACATGAACGCATACAAAGTAGTCAACCAGTCCCTATTACAGTATTAATTCCATGGAGTTTTTTATAGTGCATATTTCTTCAGTTCGTGGTAATATGGGGAAAAGTAGCCTATGTTTTGCACAGCCATCCTAGCCAGCACCCCTGCACACTCCAACTAAAAATAACAGCCCCATCCATCTCCCTGAGTCTCTATCCTCCCTGCGTGAATCCTGGGAGTAAAATGCATGGCACAAACTGGTGAACACGTGATCAGCTATACGATGCTGAATTCAACAACAAAAACGTAGGTTATGTGCACAATTGTTGCTGTTTAACGCAATAAATAAGCTAGGAAGATTTGTCAAATACTATAACATACTATAAAAGGCTAATAAAAAGCATAAATCTTGCGGTGTACGCTACATCAGTGTTTTGCAATCCACTTTTACCGTGATCAAATTGAATTGCATTTCGACGCCTATGGCATTTTTGCACTGTAAACAAGTACACGCCACGTACTCCCTCTCCTGTCACGTCAAAATCTGTTAGTGAATCCGCGATATCAAAGTCATTATGCATTAAAAACAACTACGCTATATGGGATGGAGTGGCTCGAGTGGCTAAAAATAGACCTACCTTACGGACTGCATGATGGATTTTTGCTTTTGAAGAAGATGCAACGTGCGTATTTTGCAGTTCTTGGAGATAAACCCCCAGAAGAATCAAACAGGCGTTCCTATGCTGGAGACAGGCGCTGGTCCATGATGCCAGGAACATGCGAAGAGATGCCAAGAGACGCACAACACCGCTCTGCGCACCAGCCTGCCTCTGACGTGGGTTAAGGGAGAATGAAATAAAAATAAAAACAACATACAATAAAATAAAATAAAAATACCAGAGTAAAATGCTAAATGTCTGTTTAATGAATATGCCCCAGTTATTTTTGATTTATAATAATTACAGAGAGGCTATATTCCATTGCACAACATTTCAGAGCATTATTTCAGAGTGACAGTGCTCAACAGTTGGCTAATTTTGGGAAAGCTATATATAATCCAAGATAACACCAAGAACACTTTAAATCCATTTATCTTAATGATTGTATTTTTGGAAATGCCATAATTTGTGTGATATTATCTGCTCCTTGATTTATCTGACAGACTGACCTAACATTAAACATTGTTGTTCAGTTTTACCCAAACCAATTATAGTACAGTTATCCTTTGAAATGACTGTGGTACCTCATCCTTCTATAAGAAACCATATTAACATTTCCTAGATTCGTTTTAGACTCTTTATATTGGAATAGGTCAACTCTATGTATCTCTGATTTATTCTCTTTTGAGCATTAGTGCATGGCTCTCTTGTATTTTTTTAATAATTTTGTGATACTAAACCTGTGAGGATTTTGGTCTGCTACAGTTTTTACATGTGCTATATAAATACATGTGACTGAGTTAGTGATTCATATGTCAATTCATTATTTATGCAGCTATTTATTTTGGTACAGAAATTAGTGAATGCTATTAAGCTAAATGCCACAAAATAAGACCAAACAATTCCATACACCATAGAGATGTAAAACAACTCACCTTTATGTAACAGATAATACTCCCTACATCTATACAACAACTCACCCTTATGTAACAGATAATACTCCCTACAACTATACAACAACTCAGCCTTATGTAAAAGATAATACTCCCTACAACTATACAACAACTCACCCTTGTGTAACAGATGACCCTATGTCCTTTCAGTCGTCATATCATTGTTACACTATCTTCCTTATCACCTCTTAAATATGGCTGAGATTTTATTTTATTGTTTGTTTGTTTGTTTGTTTTTTGTTTTTTTTTTTTGACTTGTATATTTATATAATTATGCCTTATTTGACACCTGTTTCTTGCTATCTTTTTTGCGACTTATTTAGAATTTCTTATTACCATTTATATGTTTTACTCTTTATGATTATAATATGTATATTGTGATATGGGAGTTACTGTGTCCAAATAATTTCCCTTATGAATCAATAAAGTTTGTGTAATGTCTACTGTCATGTTGATGTAATGGTTTATTTTTGTTCAGGCACATCTTTGGACCGCCCCTGTCGCCCTCAAGGCACCAGCCCAACCTGACAGCAGCAGCACAATAATAATAATCAAATGTCCGGCGAAATCTGTAAATGATCGTCTTCATTTCAGTCTTTAATCGTAGTTTTAGAGGTTGTTAAAATGCCGCTGTTTGATGGCTTGGTCAGCGGAGGAGAGAAGACTGCAATCATCATAGATTTGGGAGCGGCGTATACAAAGTGAGTGTCTATCTTTAGCCTGTATGCTACGAACTATTGCAGGGCGTATTGGCTTTTCCCCCCCAAAATTAACCCCGACATTACACAGATTTAGTATATAACATGCTCAGTATTGTAATTAGCTATATAAAATAATGCAAGACAGTAAAATAAATGTATAATGTAGAGTAGCTGCTGCCCAAGCTAAAGTAGCATTAGCGAAAGCAAGCTAACATATTGTAATTCTCATTCATTTTAAATATGTTTCTGTTATTTGTCGTTGAAGGAAGAAAATGGTTAATGTTAGATCTTAAAGAAAGCAACGTTCAAAATACTTTATGTGATACTAAAGTGTTAAATTAAACATGTAGATTTTTATATTATTTTGTAAACTCTTAGTGAGTAGATACAGAGGCATTCATTGTACAATATTATCCAACCATGTTCTGGACCTTCAGGCACATCACATGAATCTGTGAAACTGTGATAATAAAAGTCTTTGTTAAACCACTTCTTCTGCAAAGTGAAACACACCCATTTTAATGATCAAAACAGTGAATATGTCAAATGTGTTGCATAAACAAGTTTCCGTTGTCTAAACAAGCAACAAAACTGTAGCGCTGTATCAAATTAATTTAGTAAAATAGACCAAAAAGTACTCTTGGCAATCTATCAATACAGCAGCCCACGATACTGATACTGTGTCATCACGTTAAACAATACAATATTCTGATATTTTAATATTTTTTCCCACCCCTAATGAAGAGTGCTTTGTTTGTGGATGTACAACAGAGTTGTTAATGTGTCATTTCAAATCAGATTCTTTGTACAATACTGTAATATTAATTCCATAAGCTGTATTTAGAACAACCTAGAAATTGTAACTTTGCTTAAGCGCATTCTTATAAGGTGGTTAGTGTAGATTTAATTATTTCTGTTGGATACACTGCATTTGACCCATACATACATACATATACATTGATGGTCCTGGGGTATTTTGTCTGGAGCAGTGGAACCCTTCTGCAGCTATTGAGCTCAGAGCCTTCTTGACTGTAACAAGCTGAAGGATTAGAGCATGATTTAGTCTAATGAGGGTTACTTAAAGGTGCACTGTGTAACTTTTCTGGTCGAGGGTCAAACACTTGCTTGTCTCTGTGGGGATGTGACTGTTTTGCCTGAAATGTCCAACAGGTATCAAACATTTAACTTCTTAGGTTCTTTTTAAAGACAATGCATTGTCTTTAAAAAGAACCTAAGAAGTTAAAGTATATAAGAAGACATAATGAACATCATTGGCTTAATAAGGTATCAAACATGTGTATATTGCATTATGCCATTACAGAACTTTTTATTGGTTAAAAATATCATGAAAAATCTCTCCATAGATCTGTATCTTGGCCTACTTTCATTTTTGCTTAACTTCATGGGGTTGATGAGTTTAATGCTTTACTGTGGAACATTCCAGGCAAAGCAATAACAGCTCCATGTAGACAAGCAGTTGGCCGACACTCCATGACAAAAGTTACACAGTGCACCTTTAAGCACCAAGAGGAAAAGAACACTAAGGAATTAAAATCAGGACCTGAGAGGCAAGGGTGCTTGATTGGACCTGTAAAATGTAATTATCCTCCGTTCCTCCCTCCATAGATGTGGCTTCGCCGGGGAAACGGGGCCCAGGTTCATAATTCCGAGCGAGATCCGGAGACCAGGACAGCAAGTAAGTGCTTTAGGGCCAAAAATATGTAATTGAATGAGCTTCAAATGTCCAAAATTTTAACAAAATTTTCTTTTTACAAACAGCCTGTCAAAGTGGTTCAGTACAACATCAACACAGAAGAGCTCTATGTCATTCTCAAAGAGTTTATCCACATACTTTACTTCAGGTACATATATCCTTACATTATATCAAACTCTTCATGTTTAAAATTTTTATTATTACGTCTATGATCTTTTGAAGTAACCCTTCTGTCTGTATTTGATGCAGACATCTTTTGGTGAATCCTCGCGACAGAAGAGTGGTCATCATCGAGTCCATCCTCTGCCCATCGCATTTCAGAGAGACACTCACCAAAGTTTTCTTCAAACAGTTTGAGGTAACGCTTCTGATCAACAAAACAATTACATTTTTAGTCATACTCATATTTTGTGTGTATAATATTTAAATATGTGTTTTTTTTCTTCTTAAGGTTCCTTCTATTCTGTTTGCCCCGAGTCACCTCATGGCTGTGATGACGTTAGGAATAAACTCTGCTCTAGTGATGGACTGTGGACACACAGAGACACTGGTGCTGCCTGTATCCTTATTCTGTCAAACGCAAAAATATAGTACCAATATTCTCCTCAGAAATAGACTAATATACTTTTTCTTTTTCGAAAGATAGTTATATTTTTATTTAAATTGCTAATTGTTATAGAAACAGTCCTAACTTCCCATTATTTAGAAACCTGTGGATGGGTCAGATATAGATTTCTGCTGAGTGTTTCATGGTGATTAGAGGAGCTACAGAAATAGTTTGCTATCATCAAGCATGTTTTTTGAATATTTTTTGTGAATAAATAAAACTTTAGGAACTATAACACTGAACATGTAATTACAATATAATCAATTAAAATGAAAGAATTCTGTACCTTAAGTGTGGCATCAGGTTTATGAATGCACTCCTATTCTTCCTGCTTGGGAGGCTTTACCATTGGGAGGAAAGGCTATTCACAAGTAAGAAGAGTTCACATTTTCTTTAGCATCAGACTTTAAAATCTTCATAAACGTATTGATTTGTAAATCATTTCTCATGTATGCCCTCTGTTATTATAGAGAGCTGGATGCCCTTTTGGTGGAGCAGTGCACAGTGGACACAGACACCAGCGCTGGGCAGACTGTAGCTGCTGCAATTGGTCAGTATTCAAAGCATAAGCAACTGTCATCATGAAAGAGAGATACTTTATCGATCCTGAGGGAAATTCAAGTTTTGCTGCCGCAAACTGTAGCAGTTTTGCTGCAACATTTCAACTGTGCAGGTTCAGTCTCCTTTGTGTCTCAGTCAAAGGTCTCAGTGCAGTTTAACAGGGGAACTGGTTAGAGAGTGTCATCAGATCTGTGTCACGGTAGTTTGAGGAGAGCAGGGGCCAAAAGTTTCCCCAGCATCACAGCAGCCTCCAGAGGGAGCCAGGTGAACACAACAGGAAAGACCTTGTTTTTACTCTGCTCTGGTGTTTTGGTTGGTGAGAAAATGGTTCATTTCCTCATGGGTTTCCTCTGGAAGGTCTTCTACCACATATGGTGTAAAAAGCCAATAGCATCTCAAATGTCCATAGCTAGCTCATTAGCTAGCCTCTTGCATGGTCTGCATGGATACGGGAAAAACAAACACACAATCCAACAGTCTCTTGTGTTCATTCCCTCACAGTATTACCTCTTCTACCACAACAGCTGCCATATATGGTGTAAAAAGCCTGTGGCATCTCAAATGTCCATAGCTTGCTCCTTTGCTAGCTAGCCTCTTGCACAGTCTCCATTGATATGGGAAACACAAACCCCTCTTCACAAAATCCGTCTGTTACTTGTGTTCTTTGAACTGCCCATGCCACACTTATTAGCTGGTTAAAATCTCAGGATATGAAATTAAAAATTTACCTCAAAAAACAAAATGATAGTATGTGAGCCAGATAGCCATAAAGGCAACCAACCACTCTGTTGTCTTTATTTGAAATTAATTTCAATATATATTCATTATAGACACTCATTATAGTGGAAATATTGTAATAATTTTTTCAACTGTTTATTAAATATCAATATTTTATCTTCCACAGGGACCATTCCAGAAGATATTGTAGAGGATATCAAAGGTAAGTTGTATACTGCAATAATGTTGAATATTACTGTAATAATATAATAGTATAGTAATGGTAAAATGGTAATAATTGTTCATTGTGAGTCAGTGTACATTTGTTTGGTGCATCCCCATGTTTTTTTGTTTGTTTTTTTTGTTCTTATTTAGTGAGGACATGCTTTGTCAGTGACCTGCAGAGGGGGCTCAAGATTCAAGACGCTAAATTTAATCCAGAAGCAGAGGTGAGTCGTAACAACATTTGCTTTTTGCTGCCACTGATGAGCTGGACAGAGTTGACAAAATTAAAATATTGATATTTATATTTGATTGTTCCTGTTTAGATTAAACTTTATTTAACCTGGTAAAATGTTTGATAACCAATTCTCATTTGCAAACATGACCTGGCAACACTAGACTGTCAGTGTTGATCAAACAGTACCTGTAATATAATTCACAAATGTATAGACACAGTACTCTGGATGTATTACAAACCTTTAAAATTTTCATTTGTTTTTATGAGTATAAGAAAATTGGTATATAGTTGATATTCTAATGCAACAATTTCTTTATTACATTTTATGACCTTCATCTTCTGACATGTGGTTGTAGTGAATTTTAACTGTCTTCTTTATCTGCAGCGGCCAGCTCCTCCCCCAGATGTAGACTTTCCTTTGGATGGAGAGAAAATTCTACACGTCAAAGGCTCCATCAGGTTTGCCTCTCTTATCCTATAATCATATTACACATTCTTCTCCCCCTAACGTTGTAATTATGAACTGAAGTTTTTAATTTGTATTTTGCCAGAGACTCACTTATGGAGATTCTGTTTGAACAAGACAATGAAGAGAAGAGTGTAGCAACATTAATACTAGACACACTTGTGAAGGTGATGTTTGTGGACATTTGTAATTTAAGAGTTACTGTAAAATATCTAATCTAATGATCCAATTATTTCATTTTCAGTGCCCCATTGACACTCGAAAAGTGCTCTCTGAAAACCTGGTGGTGATTGGAGGAACTGCCATGCTCCCTGGTTTTCTACACAGATTGTTGGCAGAAATACGCCTCCTGGTGGAGAAACCAAAGTACAGTGAGGTCCTGGCCAGCAAGAGCTTCCGCATCCACTCCCCACCGGCCAAAGCCAACTGCACAGCCTGGCTCGGAGGTCAGATTATTACTATTGCAGACCTTCATGCAGATCGTGACAAGTTGTTTGTTTGTTAAGAACTTTGTGGTGTGCAGAAAATTAAAAAGCTCCATCCATTCGCATGCTCTTCCTAATTTATTTTGACTTATTAATCAAAAAGTACCAAAAAACATTTATAGAAAAATATTTTGGACAAATTTATTCTAAGAAAAGTCTGTTTCATTTGTCTTCTCTTGTTACCCAAATATCTTACTTTCTATCAGTGTTTAAATTATATATATATATGTTGTCTATTTTCCAGGTGCCATATTTGGAGCTCTCCAGGACATTTTGGGCAGTCGTTCAGTGTCCAGAGATTATTATAACCAAACAGGGCGTATTCCAGATTGGTGCTGCCTGAGCTCACCTCCTCCCGAGTCCCTGTATGAGGCAGGAAAGACCCCTCCTCCACTCATGAAGAGGGCTTTTTCTACAGAGAAGTAACCACGGAAACATGTGTATTTTGTACAGTTAAATTATGATATGTTGTCAAACTATAAACAGTTTACATTAGTTAACGGGGGCACAATGTAACTTTTCTGGTGATAGGTCTGCTACTTGTTATCTAGTTTATCTAGCTCATGCTTTGCCTTTCCTGCAATGTTCCACACTATAGCATTAAATCTATTCATATTGTCATTTTTCTATTACACGTGTTTTATTGTGTAAAAAATAACTGAAAACATGCATTGTTAATGTAAGCGGGGTCGCCTCTCCACACATCTGACCTGTAATTTGGTCTGATGCCGGCACCTCCTTGTCTCCATGGAGATAGATAGTATTAATTGCATACTGTGGAACATTCTAGGCAAAACAGCTGGTGATCTCTTTCTGTCTCTACTCAAAAAGTTACAAAGTGCACCTTTAAAAAGTAATAATGCATTGGTCTAATAAAGTCATTGTTACTTTACATTACTCTACCCATAAGTTACTCTTATAGTCAGAGCTAATCAGGAGCTAACTGTTAATCATGTGGCTGCCAATCTTTCAGAAAACGTTTGAATATGACTGTTAACCTGCTTATTACTAGAATTAGCATCTAGTATAAAGGATGCTCCAGTCATTCCAGTTTTGAATTTACATACTTTGGAAATGCTTTTACAGTGTCAGATTACACCAGTTTAATGTATTTATTGTTTTGAAATTGCAGAGTAACATACAATTCGATATAATTTCTGTATGTATTATAATAGCTGCCTTTAAAACTGAAAACTTACCTGTAAACGCCATCAGTGTATTTTGCTGAGTAGGAATAAACGTTAAGCAATGAACAAAGGCTGGTTTGTGACATTTTTGGTTGTGAAAACTGCTAACTGCAAGTACATGCATCCTTAATTACATGAGAAAAAAATCTTGTATGCAACTAACAATGCCACTTACTGGTATCAGGGCACTGTTGTTCTTATACAAGAGGGCACTGTTGTTCTTATTTTTGCATGATAACCAAATCCTTGGATTAACTAGTATCAATCAATCTCACTGAAATAACTCTTAGAAAATGTGCAGATTGTTTCCCTGTCTGCATTTTATAAATTGAGATTACACTTGAAAATACTCTTAAAGTAAATAATCTTAATATGTAAAATGCACACATTGCACCTTTTAAAGTCACATTTCAGATCTTTTTTTTTTTTTTCATTTTTGTTAAGAGAATTTTTTTCATCTCAAACTAAACATAGACAGTTCGATACTACTGGATCTCAATTTTATTAAAATTTGATAAATTTGCCTTAAAGCAATATAACTGACCAAGGTAACAATAAAATTCTGGACACGTGACAAAATATCTGGATACAGTTAGGTCCATATGTGGGAGTAAAGTGATCTTATGTTTGTGCAGAGTAAGTGGACTTGATTATATAGGGGCAACATTACTACTGTATAACTGGTCATTATAACTACACCAAGACACGTGAGACCACACAGGGTTCACAACCTCCAGCATCTGTAATGAGTGGGTCAGGACTCTATGGAAACAGGAAATACAAGAGGTTTGTACATGAGAATTATGGTTAAAAATGCAATGTCCTGTCATGGTCAATATTTCTGTCTTGGTTTTTCATCCATCCATTTTCTTCTGCTTATCCAGGGCCGGGTCACGGGGCAGCAGTCTAAGCAGGGACTCCCAGACTTCCTTCACTCCAGACACGTCCTCCAGCTCCTCCAGGGGGACCACGAGGCATTCCCAGGCCAGCTCAGGGACATAGTCCCTCCAGCGTGTTCTGGGTCTTCCCCAGGGCCACGGGGAAGACCTTGGCCTTGGTTTTAAGGCAATAAAAAGTTACACTATATACTGCTACCTGCTTGATATTGCATTTCCTGGAATGTTCCACAGTATGGCATTACACTGGACGATCTGGTATTTATTGCTTAAAAGGAACCTTGAAAAACGGCATTTACACTGCAAGTGGGGTCACCCTTCCAACCTAAAACCGCTAAGGTAGAGATCTGGAGGTGGTTCCTGGGTACTGCATTCTACTGACAGGTTGCCCCGGAGACAATGTAGGATGGGTCAAATGCAGAAAACAAATTTTATATGAAGCAATATTAATTCAACCTGTGTCTGTATACATATTACACTATTTTCGGAAATATGTTATACCATTGCTTCTTCATCTGATACATATCTGGATTTGTTGTGTATCTGTTTTTGTCTCTGTTCCACCCATAGACTGTCTATGGTTCCATCATGTGGTAATACAGGAAATGCTCCACTGAGTTTTTAAACTTCATACACCTTCACTATAATCATTTGAATAATTTCAGACCCAGAATTGCCAGTCTCTACTAAACAAAAGGTCAAATGTAGCTGTTCACTTGGAAATTACCGCTTCATGACATCACAAGGTGGAACAGAGCATTTTGAGCATTGGAGATGTAGACAGACTAAGGTCACCAGACGTCCCTATTTACCTGAGACAAACCCAGTCTTGAGCCCTGTGTTCCTTGTCCCAGCAGATTTGTCCAAACCAATGATTTATCCCAGTTTTATACAAGAAATGTCCCAAGTGTCCCTATTTTTGACCAATCTGATCCCTACCAACAGTAAAGAGAGGCATACATTTGTTGAGCCAAACTACAGAAAAGCTGCTTAAAAATTATCAAAACACAAAGAAAATGTAACTATACTGACTCACATTTGTGCCAAGTGCAGAACAATTTTCCTTAATAATTACACATTAATTTCACAAATGTTATTACTACCAATCACCACAAACTGGGGATATCCCAGGTTTTTATTTTGAGTATCTGGTCACCCTAAGATAGACTAATAATAAAGTATTACTCAAACATGTGTGAAACAAAGCTTAACACTGGGTACGTTTTGTGGTAATACCATTCTAACGTGGTTTAAAGCTCTCAAGAGTCAATTTTGCGGAATACAGTCTCCTTTAATTTACTCTATTCACAATCAAATCAATTAAATAATAATTGACCAAGGTTTTCCATTGGTTCATATTGCATAAAACGTTTATTTGTCATATTACACCTGTATAATTCCACTTCTTCCCTTGAACTAATCCCTGAATTGCTGAATGAACAGACCATAAACCTCTTCGGTACGTGAGGACGCTTTGTTCAGAACGCGTAATGTTTACTACAAGCTTTAAGTCAATTGCTTAGCTTTAGTGCTGTGGGCTAACAACCCTACCCGTCTGTTATGTAATACATAGGAACATTGTGTTGTTATACCCCCACTCTCTCTGCTCCGTACGTACGTGGATTCCCATGCGGTTCCACGGTATAGCTCTTTACTGGAGTACCATGTGTAGGTTTAGTGTCGTAGTAGCGCGTACATGATGTCCTCAACTTGCCACACATTCAGCCGGAGTCACGTTTTGGAGCGCCTGGTTCCGTCAGCCAATCACGGTGCAGCTTTTGCATTGAGGGGGCGGGATCAGAAGGTGACGTGTGCCGCCTACTTCCATATAAGGGGAATAGAGTGAGTACGGTGAAGAACAGGGACACGCTAAAACCCAGGCATTTGGACCGGGTGGGTGTGTTTTTCCATGAAGCGACAAAATTCAAGTAGGAATGCGGGGAAATGGAATGTATTTAGTTTTTTAAGGATAAAAATAACATAATTAAAATAAGCAAAGCAAAAATAAAAAGTCATATATAGACTGCCGGTGGTAATTTGTTCTGGACATTGCAGTCAAAATAGCATCCTAATGTTCTTGTTAGATACATAAAATTTAAGTTTAAATACTTATTTATTTTGATTGCATATTTTTATATTCTCCTGTCATTCTTGAACTTTGCATTGTAACACAGGTTTGTATAAAAGTATCGTCCAATCCCAATAAGAAATGTAAATGTGTATACAATTAAATATATTATTGTATTTTAAGTGGTAACATGATTATTTTACAGATTATCCCATTGTGCTTTCATTGTGGTGGGGAGTGATTTACCTCAAAAACTTGTTTTCACCCCAGTGACCTCCCTGACCTCAAAAATGCTAAACAATTTCATGTTATTGAAAGACTCAAAATTCATTAGGCTTCAGTTGCTGGGTTCTATAGGCCAGTATTAATTAATACAGATGGGGGTCAGCTAAAATTATAATTGCTAAAATGCAGATTTGTTTTGTAATACAGTGAGTTTTTGGTCTAATCAGTCGTGGAAATGATCATATTCAACATTTGTGCATTTATTTTTTTAGATATTTGACAGCAAAGTACAATGTAATCAATAGAAAAAAATGGCCCTTGCCCCTATCTGAGAGTATGACATCATTACATTCTGGAATTTGAAAACTACCTACTTACTACTTACTAATATCGATTCACAAGGTTACTGTTTTTGTTAGTAGATCTGTGCATTTCCACTACAAGTAACATTTTGCTAATTTCGAACAGTTTAACTGATGATAAAGATTATGACCTTAGAAGTAGCGTTTTTTTTTTTTTGTTTTTTTTTTTTTGTCAGACAGGAGCGGTTCCTAACCATAAGGTTATGTACTGATATGACGTTAAAAACAGGCTATAAGAGGTTCTAATTTTTACTTAATTGTGCAGGTAAAAACATGATTTTTAACACTTTACAACTTTACCACATGGACACCATACAAAAACCGCCTTAAGACATGTTTTTGGTGGGGGTGTCAATGTATGTCATGGCAGCAAGCTCCAAAACATCAATTTTGAACATGGACTAGATTTTGGCATAACAGAATGTCACTTTGTTGCTTTATACATGGCATATAAACTAACCAGTGTTCAAAAAGACTGCTAAAATATGAAATACAGGCAAAAAGTGAATTAAAACCACAAAAGAGACATGCATTATTACTAGATTGTAACATCATTTAGACCCAAAATAAAAAATATACAATTTAAATAGTAATTTATTGCGTTTTCGACGATTAATTACTAAATATTTATTGACAAAAGAGCATATGAGTTCAGCTGCCAAGTCCCTCCCGGAGCGAAATGCCTTGACTTTAGAGAGACTCCGGAAAAATACGAATATCTTGAGTTTTTTGCACCTTTTGTCCACTTGGGAACACCTGTGTCGGGGTCAGATAGAGTCCAGTCATTACCGACAACCCCCGCCCGCATGTACAGGGTAATTTCCCCCGTAAAGAACAAAGCGAACCAAAGGGTACAGCCACCGTGGTGTGCATGTGACTGAGCCGGGGGAGGGGCTGTCTGTCCCGTGTGTTGTACCGTGGAACACCGAGTTCCAGTGCGCGTAGGTCGGCTGCAGAGAAAGACACGCCTCGGTGAAGCTCAGGCCAGGACACGGAACGGACTACTGCGGAAAAGAAACAGACAGAGCTACTTCACTGATGTCAATTTTGTTATAATCGAGACAAGTAAGTTAACAATTTCTTAAAGTTTACTAAATAACTGCATTTTGTGGTTTTGGCTGAGGCTAACGCTAGCTAGTTGAATGTAAATAGAACACAAGACGTGCGCTTTCTTTGAATATATGATCTGCGTATTTCTGGATTAAAAGTTTAAACATATGATTAAAATACACTTTAGAGAAATACATATAATGAGCTTGGTGAAAATCGTGCGTTTATCTTTGTGTGTTGGCTTCTAAGTTTATGTGTCACCCTTGTTGCACACAGGACGGTCCCCTCCATTCATTTTTTCAGTTTAAATTCTGTAAATGTTATTTTGAGACTGTGAAAGTATTTGCCTGGATTTTAAGCTTAGACGGCCTTATATTGTCACTTAAGTAGAAATAGAAAATTGTATTGACTACTGAGACTTTACAACAAGTGCTTTCTTAATGCATACAGGTTAAGTATTAGGCTATTTGTAATATATTTAGTAAAAATTTCAACCATTATAGGCTAATATTACATGCACGAGTTGTATTTATTTTCTACACAATCATTACAACTATGCAAATTAATTTCATTTAGAAAATTGAGATGAATCATTTTGTCTTAAAGTAGTGCTTCCCTATTCAACCGATGCAGAGCAGTGGAAATATATTACTTTACTTTTAAACGTTTAAAACTATCTGTGTTCCTAGATATTGAAATTAAGATTTATGTTAAACATAATCACCAAATTTGGATAATCCCTACCTTAACTGTTGAATGCAAATTAAAGGTTTAGTTAGATACAGGTAACTTGCATGGCTTCTGTGATAAGAGGTGACTTGCACAGTGTCTGACATCCTGATTACATCTTGTATCATCAGTGGTGCACAGTGGAGGAAAGTGACAAGAGACTTCACTAAATTTAAAGGGAAGTCTCTGTACTTTCGGTCCATCTTTCTTAATTTTGTCTGTGGTAATTTAGAAATAACAAAATGGGTAGATTGCGTTCACTCACACTCAAGTTCACACCAGTCATATCATTCATTTTCATAACTGGCATTCGTAGTGTTGTATATCTAGGGTCATCTGAACACAACTTATTACAGCCAGTCCAGATTCACGGCTAGTTAAAAGATTTGCTTCAGAATAAAGTCTTTGCAGTCACTGGTGTTTCAGAAAAATTATACATTTTCTGTCCCTTTTTTCTCCAATATCCAGTAGTAGAGAGCACCAATGCACATTTCTTATGTTTACTACAAATACTTCTACTACTTACAATACAATATTAATCCAACAATACTGAACATTTGCTGGAGAAAGACATCCTGCCACGTCACCAGACAAACATTACTACATACATATTTGTCAAGAATGTATTGACATTACTACTAAAATTTATTTTATAACAGAATACATTAATATTCGCACGAGAAAGTGAATATGCAATGTGTTTCAGTGATTTTTGTTGGTCTTATGTAGAGCCCGGCCGATATGGATTTTGCTGTGGCCGATATGAAACCGATATAATGGGAGTTGGAGCTGCCGATATAATCGCCGATATATTTAGTGATGTAAAAATTCACTGTAAATGTTGAATTGTTTAAAAAACTTAGGTTTGGCTCTGATGGATTTTAAATTGGGTTTATTTAGGCAACATTTATTGTTATTCTGCCTCTTTACATCATATTTACACACAGTAGGTTGGCTTAATGGCATTTTTGCATCACATTCTAGACACTAGTGATGGGTATTCCAGTTCTTTTTAGAGAACCGGCTCTTTTGGCTCGGCTCACTAAAAGCTGCTGATTCTTTTGGCTCCCAAGCGGCTCTTCAGATTGTTTTGTTGCAAGCAGGTCTAAAGCACGTCTAAAGCAGGACTGAATCAGGACTGAACCAGGTCTAAACCAGGACTGAAAAAGGTCTAAACCAGGACTGAAAAAGGTCTAAACCAGGACTTATTTATTTTATGCTAAACTACAGCCAAATATGCTCGTTTTTTGTTTTTTGTTTTTTTATCCTATGTACACGCAAATTTCTCAAAGTTTCGTTTTCAGCCGCTGCCGCTGTCAAACCACGAGTCTGCACGCGGCGTGAAGAGAAAAAAAGTGAGAGAAAGAGAAAACACGGCTCCCAATAAGGATCAGGCTCCCGTCGTTCGCTTCAAAGAGCCGGCTCTAAGAGCCATTTCGTTCGCGACGGACCCATAACTAGTAAAGAAACTAGCGCTATTAGCCTTTAGCCGTAAATGCTGCGCGCCGCGGTAATTAATTATATGCGCAAATGTCATAATTCACACGTCTATTCACAGCTCATTTACATATCAGTGCTGGTCCAGTAACAAATATACGGCCAATGTAGTCAATTTACAATAGACCAATAGAAAACAGCCTGTTTATGTGCGGGAGCTACAGCAGCTAACCCATAACGAATGACTAAAACTAGCTTCAAAGTCGACATATTTCCAACACTCATACAGGCTCCTCTCACATCACAAATCTGCACTAATAAATGTCCTTTTAATTCAGACTCAAACCGATTGTCCGTAAAAAGAATACAATCTCAATGTTTGGATCTGTGTCTGCGGATGTAAACAAACGCACGTGAGTGACGCGACTCTATGGTGTGTTCAGGGTCAATACGGACACACGCACGGATAAATGACTCCGTAGATAAATACTGATGTGGAGCCACATATTAGGACATTCATCTGTCTTTAAATTGGATTAAATGAACATAATGTAGAGAGTCTAAGATTTTTACGAGTATGACATATGGTATCAGCATATCGGCCGATAGATATACCTCGAGGTGCCCATATCAGCCGATAATATCGGCCAACCGATATATCGGTAGTCTTATGGTAACAGTCTGTTTTTGAATCATTTTTAAATTAATTGTTGGTCTAAAAATGTACTTTCTCTATCTCTATTTGCCTTTAAGCTTTTTGAACATTTGACTGTAAATGCAAATATGGTTATAGGTTAAAGTAATTTTTGTACAGACTTGTTCATCCTGTTTGAATATGAATTAAAATTAAATTTCTGGAGCCTTGATTAAATGTGATTGCTTGATGAACTGTTTGTTGCCAGGTTGAGGAACAAATCACTGTGAGTTCAAAAGAAGCAAAGATGACAACCAAGAGAAAGGCACCAACCAGACCTGGCAACATGAAATCTGGAGAGTTTCAGACAGAAGCTGAGAGGGACTCTGGGTTTTCAGGTGGGATTTTTTTTTATTACTACATTAAAATAAGATTTGGAAGATTGCTATTGAGAAAGAAATATTTGTAATCTCCTGGAGTGGAAGGGCAACTGGTATAAAATATACAACAAGACAGGAAGCTACTTAAGAAAAAAAAATTAACTTGTATGAAAACAATTGAAGATGTTATTGCTTAGCATGTAATGTTCCATCCACAGTAATATTAAGCTTATCTATCTCCATGTAGATAAGTAATTTGGTTACAGATTAGATTTATGGAGAGGCAACCCCACTCACAGTAAGCATGCATGGTAATCACAGCAATAACATTTTAAACATACTCTGCCATACTCTGGAACATTAGATGTAAAGCAATTACATCTTCTTGGAGACAAGCAGGCAGCAGTACAAATTTAAATAAACATGATCTAGAGAAAAATGAAAATAAGCTATAACCAAAACAGATATAAACCAGAAAAATTTTCAGACTAAATAATGTAATTCAATTAATTTCTTATCTAAGTTGTTATTGTATTCTACAGATGCGAGTTCAGAGCATCTGAGCTCCATAGACCCCACAGACTCTGAGGACTCGCCCGGGCCTGTCCAGCCAAGTTCCAGCCCAAAGGGGTCCTCCTCAAACCCAGGGACCCTCACTGTGGTCGGGGGCTCCTACTCCAACCTGTCCCCGATGATCATCATGAACAACGTAGTGCTCAAACAGGTACAGAGTTGTTTACTGTTAATGTAAAGTTTGAACCAGGTCTAAACCAGGACTAAACCAAGACCAAACCAGGTCCAAATCAAGACTAAACCAGGACTAAACCAGGTCTGAAACTAGGCTATAGCAGGAATCAACCGGGACTAAAACAAGACTAAAACAAGAATTAAGCAGGCTATATCAAGCTATAGCAAGACTAAACCAAATGTACAGCAGGACTAAAACATGGTAAATGCAGGACTAAACCAGGATTAAAGTGGAACTAACCTGGGTCTAAAACAAGACCAATACAGGATCAAAGCAGGAATAAACAAAGTCTATAGAAGGATTATACCAGGGCTAGATGACCTGACCTGATCAGGACCATTTAGCCATGACTAAAGCAAGAGGAAATATAAACCAGGACTAGAATTGGACTAAACCAGGTATGAACAAAAGCAAAGCTAGCTCTAAAGCAAAAATAAACCAGGCTTAACCTAGGATTCAGTAAGATCTTAACTAAGACTAAACCAGGTCTAATGCAGGACTAGATCAGGTCCAAACTAGGACTAAACCAGGACTTGAGAATGACTGAAGCCGGACTCTACTTGTACAAACTGTTATGAGTTTCATGTGATCCTTGTGTTAGCTTCATATTTCAGTCTTCCTTTGTTTAATTTGCTTTTACTTTACTTTGAGAAAGTAGAGTAACTCAAACCCACAGGTCATGTCAGGTCTATTATTATAATTTTTTACCCATATTTTATTTGATTCTTTTACCAAATTTTCTCCAGCTTCTTAACATATTGATATTTTCCTTTTTTCTAAACTACACCCCATAGTTTTTCTGATTTTCTGACCAGTTTAGAGTGTATTTTATCATATATGTACAAACTATTTCAGTTTGCTGTTTACAGGTACCATTTGAGGACTTACAACTGTTGACCATCACTCTGAAATTCATGGACACTATTTTCAGTCCCATTAGTTAAGCCCTATAGTGGCCATTGTCATAGTTGTTTTGTTATCTGAAACCCAATCATGCATTTTTAGCCAATGTCAAAAACTCACTTAAAAAAAACTTTTATCTCCAGACAGTCCCTGTCTCTATCCACCATGTGCTTTCTCAGGTTACACAGTCATTCTTCTGTTGCATTCCACAGCCTTTTCCTAGCCCCAACTGCCCCGAGAAATCTTTTTTGAAGAATACGATACTGTAAAACTAGTTTAAGTACATGTGACAGGTTTTCATATTTTCTAATCATAACGGTTCAGTGGGATAGTACATGTGAGATAGATGGATGGATAGATAGATGGATGTATAGATGGATACATAGACACTTTATTGATCCAGAAGGAAATTCAGATTATCATAGTTTTACATCAGTGAAATGGCATCATTTACACAAAATTCCATAAAAATGCAGGGAGAATTTACACACAAGACCTTTTCATTAAACAAAATGCAAGTGTTATATTAAAATAGTTGAATCATGACTATTGTGCAATTTAGACAAGTTATGGCCCTTGTTAACATTATAGTTGCTAGGTAACAGTTATGGAATTAAATTGACAACAAAATTTAAACCAGCAAAAATAGGCAAGTCTTAAATATAATGATCTTAACTACATGTTTTAGTGAAATCATCTAACCTACTCTTAAATGTAAATTCTTAGTAGAAGATTCTCTAAACCTCTTTACAAACTGCTTTTTTGTTTTGTCTTTTGAGTATATATCTCACTTAATTATCCCATCAACTGCAATACACACAAGTAAATGAGGTCTGTGAGAACAAGGAAATTGGTAGTAATTGCATAGAAACTTGAGAAAAGCCTGTCTGTGAGGGGCTGGGGGTGTGACTGTATTGTTATACAGTAGCTGTTAGCAACACAATGCTAATGGGTAAATAAGTCGTTTTTAGTGACAGGCCACTGCTGCTGTTTGCCTCTGAGTGAGTGACAGGTGCCTTTAACCAATCCCGGTGTAATAGGTAGCTTTAGAAACAGAAATTGTACTTTGGTTCTAAGAATAGTATATACAGGTAGCAATAATGGTGAAATTTTTTGTTATATACTACATACTACCAGTCAAAAGTTTACATTCCACTAATGAGATTAATGCACATTACATCAGGTTTGTGAAGTTGTAGTGTTATGTTTTGTGTCATGCTTTTGTATAGTCTGTTTATCGAGAATTGTAGTGTGGGAGCATCGGTGATGTAGGCTTGTGGGCTGAGCATCGCAGATCGCACAGAATCACACTGTTTACCATAAGAGGGGTTCAAATAGGGCCCAGGAGAGATCGCTAAATTATTCAAAACATGCATGGATGACATACAAAAACTTCTTTAGGCATTTTTATTATGACTTAACAGTGTTATAACATAGTAGAAAGCTTCAAAAAGTTGATTTTGCATAATATTAATAAATATTTAATAAAGGGCGCAATTAATCAATCCATTGTTTCCACTGTTGAGACTGTGCCCCCCGCCCCTCCCAAAGTCTAAAAGGAAAAATGTGGACTAGACATAACAAAATGTCACTCTGTTGCTTTGTGCATAATTATAAATATAGAAAGTATTTGAGCCATCACAGTCTGAACAAATCTAAAGGGAAACACCGATCACAGAATTTCCATAAGAGGTGCATTGCATTGTGTAATTTTTTTGGTGGAGGGTCCGTCAAATGCTTTTCTTCATTGAGATGTTATTGCTTTGTGTGGAATAGTTCACACCTTTCTATTTTCATGGCAACCAAACAAGACCAAGTTACAAGTCAGATCTGTGGAGACGCAGCCCCGCTCAGTCAGATGCCTGTTTTTCTAGGTATTTTTGAGCAGTAAAAGCACCTGTAATTGAGTAAATGTAGACTAGATTTCTTTAATGTCATATTGTGGAACATTCTTAGCAAAGCAATGACATATCTATAGAAACAAGCAGGTGACAGACCCCCAACCTTTAAAGAAAATTTAAACCTAAGCCTGGTTGAGTGTAAAGTACTTGTGACTCTTCTCCTGTCTTTATTATTTCCAGCCTGGGGACCCTCCACCTGCCCTAAAGCCCTGGAGGTTCAGCCCCACGATGGAGGTGGTTCAGCCGGTGGTCCAGCAGCCTCAAGTGGTCTTCCTCCAACCGGTCGTGTCCCACCAAACCTCGTCTACATCCAAAACTGCCAACAAACATCGGCGCTCCAAAAAATACCTCCCAATCTTGAAATCGTACCCCAAAATCGCACCCCGAGACACCAGTAGCTCATCAGGCAGGGGGACTTCTTCTTCAGCTTCTTCCATATCCTCTGGCTCTTCCACTATGACGGACAGGAGTAGCCAAAGCTCTACAACAGAAAAATTGCAAAGAAATCATAGCAGCGCTGTCCAAAATACATTTGTCAAATCTTCCACTATCTCAAAGTACTGTTTCACCTCTGCTAAGAAAACAGCTTTCTCTTCCTTCAATTGAAACAACCAGCAGTGGAGTTTCCAGTGACAATCAAGTAGCATTAGGAAGGTCATCAGAACTTCCTACACCTTCATCTTTTGGTTTTAATCCCAAAAATCAGCCTGTACAAATTCAACCACCTGATCCAGAGACTGCTTCAGCTGCGCAACTTGAAAACGAAGGTGACGACGATATTCGAAGGAAGCGATTCTGCAACACGTATAACATTTTGAGTAAATCGGGGTTGCTCGATATCACCCTTCGCACCAAGGAGCTGCTTCGTCAAAACAAACGCACCCAAAGCGACATAGACCGGCTAAAGGAGCAAACTGACCTATTTTTGCAAATGCTGCAAAGTGGGGACACCAGCCTCTGTGTGAAACTGCAGACGAGTCTACAGGAGGAGGACAAGGAGAGGGAGGGAGAGGGGGAGAGAGGGGAGAGAGGGGAGAGAAGTTAACAATGATGTCTGAACCATTTTGACATGTGATCCTGTACTGTAGAAAGGGATGAACAATAGAAATGAGAAAAGACCCTGCTGTAAACAAAGGAGGATCTGAAGTGGTAGTAATATTAATCTTGATCTGAAATGGGGCTGTGCAGTGGATGAAAGTAGTTGCTGCTCAGAATTGTGTCCAATTTTAAAGCACCCTCGCTCCACAACAAGAAGGTTCCAGGTTTGATCCCCTGGGTTTTTCTTGGTGTAGTCCATGTTTGGGTGGGTTTCCTTCAGACTCTAGTTTACATGATCAACCCAAAACATGCATAATTGGTAAAGTAGTCCTTACCAAGACTAGCTCAAGATCTGGACAACTGCTCTTGACAAGTTGACCCAAAGGCATTGAAGGATGGGTCAAATGCAGAGGAAAAATGGTCCCTACGAAGTCAATAATCTGTACCTTACCTTACAGAAGATTGGTTGTGGACTTCTAAATTATAAAACACTAAAGCTGTTTATTTACAATTGGAGATGACTGAATCTCAATTAAACAGTAAAGCAAGTACATTTTTAATCATTAATTGTTAATATAGGTAATTATAATGTACTCTAGGCCTATATTTATTGTTTTTACAAGATGAAAAGCCTATCAGAATTACCATGCTACTGCTACATTGTGGCAAATACTGATAAAAAGAGTATAAGTGAAAAAATTTGACTTATAATTATGGCTTGAATAAATTATTTTATCTCACTAAAGTATAAATTGTTTTCCAAATTCTAAAGCCTTAATTCTCCTTAACAATTTATATATAGTGAAATTAGTCTACACCTCAATTCAAGATTAATATTCTGAATTTAACTTATTTTAAATGTTTTCTTTCTGGAGTGCAGCGTGTTAATGAGACAGGACTTTACGGGGAGTTGTGAAGCCGGCTTGGACAGATGGACTGAAGTATCGTGTTTGAAAATACCAACCCAACCCCCACCCAAGCACCTACCCCAACACAGAGGGTACTGGTGTGGCCTACTTCTACTATTACTGACGAACCAGACTGACCTAGAACATAAGAAAGTACTCAGTTCATAAAAGGGATGGGATTGTTAAAATTGAAAGCCAAAATGACATTAGAGGTTCTATATTATGCTAAACTTCTCCTTTTTTTTTGAGAATTGAAATCTTATGTTTACTTTATCGAAACTATCCCTGAAGGTTTTTCATGTGCTAATGTTTGAGATGTGTTTTGAGTTAATATGTACAAATCCTGAATTATCCTTTATATATAAAAAAAAAAGTTTCTGTACCTGATTTTTACAGTCTTTTACAACATGAAAAACAGAACATACAAAAGAAACAGGTACAAGGGCCTTTGATTTCCGTTACTTAAAAAAGTCTAAATAATACATAATATAGGACTTTTTACCACAAATTGACTTGAAAAAATTGCACATTGAGTGTATATTGTTTTGTAAATTATTTAAGTGCCAATGATGACAACACTGCAAAAACATATGGACCGTATAAGGTTTGTGTATTTGGGCGGTTAAGGTCAAATATCTATAAAGCCTTAACCAACTGCACATTGTCAGCTCCACAATATAGCACTTACTAGGGATGGGCATTCGATGAAATTTTCTTAATCGATCGTCGGAAGAATTAACGATCGATTATCGATTAATCATTAACGTTTTTATATTAAAATGATCATCATTATTATTACTATCTGCACTACTAATCTACATAAATAAATTCAACTTTACGACATATAAACCGTAACCACTCTAGAGCCACATCGATCCGTTTGACATTATAATGTGTTTAATTCAGTTTTGCGCAACTCTCACAGAAACAAAACTTAAAACCGCATCGCTAATTTGCATAAACTAAGCGAAGATAAAACTGCAGCTCTTGTGTCGCTGATGCGGTTCAATTTCTGTTGGATTAAAAGACATGACTCAGGTGAATACAGGTTAGTGTGACCATATTTGTGTTTGTCAAAACCAGGACACCGTACGGGGGGTAGGAGGTGGGGACTCGTCATCGACATTGCGCGACTCTCACCTGGTGAAGCTTTTTCCCACTGGACACCGAGACATATGTTCCTGCTTTATACACTGTGCACATGGACTCACACTTGTCCCGAACGCAACAGAAAGCGTGGAATTTCTTGTACAAGTCATCGTTAAATACGCATTTGTGCTTTGGTACACTGCAGACTGACCGACTGTTTGTGTCTCGCTCCTGAGTGCAGAGAGACATGTACAGACCCCTTTTTGGTCACGCTACGCACAGCAACCTACATTCGGTTTGTCGATTAAAATTAACGTAATCGATGTAAATTCTTAATGATCAATTATCGATTAATCGATTAATCATGCCCATCCCTAGCACCTACTACTCAAGACATTTTGCTACTACAATCGTTAATCAATAGCCTGTATAGATTTATATGTTTGTGATGGTGGGTTGATTTGAGGACAATACTAATCCAGGGTTGGGCATTACAGACAAAAATACAACTTGAATCTGTTTTAATTAATGAGTGGATTTTTGTAACTCAAAATATGTATGTTGACTATACTAAATATTTTTTGATCACTTTTGCCATTTAAATATGTTATGTTAAATGAACTCATATAGTTTAAATCCTTGTCTTGAAACAAGTCAAGGTCTTGAAACTTAAATTAGTTGCTGTGTGTTGACAACACAGAAAAATGTATAAATTTAAACACAGCTTTTTTTTTTAAATACAAAGTAACATAAACTCTGTATTTCAGCTCAGTGGGTAATGCAGTGGTTTAAGGGTCAACCCACCAACTGGGCAGTTGCTGGTTCAAACCGTTATTGTGTTTTTGGGCCTTTGAGTAAGGCATATATACTTGCATTGTTTACTTACTCCATTTATTTAACATCTTAGCAGCTTTACATATTATTTAAAATGTAAAACAAATACTCATAACACAGTATTTCCTTTTATTGCCCAGCCCTGGACTAAAGTAACTGTTTAGTCTTGCTTGTCCCATAATGTTGATGTAATTTAAACTATTTTTGATTTTGTAAGACATATTTTGAATGTTCCATGGGCCTTTTGCCATTGTTTAAAATTATGTGCCTAAAGTTATTGTTTTTCTGTCTATTTTCTTTTGGTGTCATCCCTTTACACTTTGAATCTACAATCTTCTGAATGGCAGCTTGAACACAAGGCAATTGGAATTACTCCAGTCAAACTCAATGACCCTTTGATGACCAGCTTATCCTATTTACAAACAGTCTAGTAGGTGTTAAAGCTAGGGCTGGGTGATGGTCAGAATGAAACTGAACTGAAATAATCATATTTTGTGGTTTGTTTGTTTTTTGTTTCGCATCTTGGATATTTCAGAATTGCTTTAATTGAGCTCTGACACTGGATAAACAAAAATGAAATTCAAAAGATGCATTTATTTTTTATAATCTTGTGCATTGTAACAGCAAAGCAAATTAATCAGTCGAAATCACCAGTTAACCAGTGTTATATGTTTTGTTTTGCTGCTGCTTTTTTTTTTTTTTTACAACTACGATAACCTCATTTACAGTGTTGACCTAAACTGCTGTAAAGGATGCTCTTAATAATTCACAAAAAAAAAAAAAAAAAAATCCAACACTTTTCCAATTGGTTAAAATAATAATAAAAAGTTAAATTAACATTATTTATTACCCAGCCCTAAAAGTATGCCTTATTTAATTTCAGTTTTATGTTGACTTCTCTGAATTCAAAAAGGCAGCTATGGTGGCTCACAAGGACAAACTTTATTTTTGTGAGTGCTTTGCTGAATATGCTTGGCGCTGTTTGTGACAAACAAATAAACACAACTAAAACACAAACAAAATGCAAATTTGTTTTTTTATTTTCTACATTGTTTTACACCATCTCCAGTTATGACAGTTATGACCACTTGTTGCTCGTGTTTATATTTAAATATGATTTGTGATTTTTTTCTCTTATTAAATGCCTCATGAAGAACTGCTTAAACTGTGTTGCCTGAAATTAATTTGTTTTATGTGTGGTAGTGTTCCAAAGTTATTCCTCACTTACATTATGCATTCTGAGCACATCAATACCATGATGAGTCTATTGGTGGTTTTCAGATTGTAGAATATGATAATTTAGAATTGCTGAATCCAGTATTTTCAATTACTGATGAAACCAAAGAACTTACTGTATTAAAATATAATTTCGCATTTTAACAATATTAATCTAAGCTGCCATCTATATTATTTAATATTGGCCTATAGAATGCTGTGAGGTCATCTGAAACCCAGCATTAAGTGCTTTTAACAACTTGCAGAGACCAAAGCAGAGCAGTCAGAGTTAAGCTTACAACAACTAGCAAGCTCAGTGAGCACTTACTGATTATTGGACAATAAAAAGCTTTATAATTAGACATTACACAGAAGACTTATTTTGACCTCAAGAGCTGCTTATAGAATATATCAGTGCTGGGGCAAGAAAATTTTACTCAAATATATGGGAAAACATTTAGCACAGGGCCTCTAGTAGTTGCAGCCCAGTTTGTGTCCCTGGGAATCCTCATTGAACATAATCTTAAGTATCTTAGTGAGTTTGAAAAAGATGCACCCAATGACTTCCTTTACACAGTCATATGACATACAGATATGCACAACTCCAGTCTGTACAATTCTTGATAATTGGGATAATTGGGCCACAGTGTGTACTTTTACGTAACTTTTTATCTATTTAAAAATAGATTTAAAAAAAACAAAAACATTCCTTTTCATTTTGGTTGTCTGTATTGCCCTAAAAACATGTGTACTTACTGTGAATAGGCTTCTACAAATCTCACTCTTATTTGCTTGTTTGCTTGTTTCCATGGGAAGGTTCCATGGTATGTAATATGGTATGTCATTCATATACCTCCGAAAAAATATTATGAGATATGGTTTTAACTTCTATTTCCATGGGATCAGGCCATGCCATGACTTTCCACCTCCAGAAAGTTACATAGGCCTGATTTAAGTCAAGATGACGATGTATGGCATGCAAAATTGACTGAAAGGTGCACTGCATAACTTTCCTTATCTCCACTGAGATGTTGTTAATGTTCTACAATAAGATATTAACTGTATCATTGTTTTAATTACAGGTGTTTTCATTGCTAAAAAATACTTTGAAAAACTTGCAATTCTTATTGTAAGCGGGTTGACCTTTCCACAAATCTAACTTTTAATTTATTTTGGTGTATGTGCTACACAAATTGAATAAAATACCTAAGAAGTAAATCAATACAAAAACTGAATAAAAATATCTGTATAAAAAACATTGTATAACCTATTGATTAGCTATTTTTGTAGTGAGTCTTATTTAATTCACTTAAACTCAGCAGACTAAAAGTTAGAAAGTCAGTGATGTTATCTGCATGTTCTTAAGTCAGTCACATTGTTTACTTCTGGTTAAGTAACAAGTCGAAATGTTTAAAGGTTGCTCTTTGTAACTTTTCTGGAGGGAGGTTTGCTCACCATGTATAGATGTTATTGCTATGCCTGGAATGATCTAGCTTTTGTTCAATTTCAGGTGTTTTTTTTTTACTGAATAATACATAAAAACATGACTTTCTACTGTACCTACTGTAAAAATGTAATAAAAAAAAAAAAAAAATTACATTATTTTTGGAGTTATGTCGCCTCTCCACAGATCTGACATGTAACTTGGCTTGCTGGCACCACCTGCTTGTCTCCAATGAGATGATAATGTGGAACATTCTAGGCCAAGCAATAACATCTCCATGAAGCCAAGCAGGTGATGGAGCCTCCAGAAAAGTTACATAGTTAGGGTGATCAGACGATTTATACAAAACCAGTGATTTGTCCCAGTTTTATACAAGAAATGTCCCAGGTGTCCCTATTTTTTTTTTTACCAATTTGATCCCTGACAGCAGTAAAGAGAGGCATAAGTTATAATTTGTTAAGGTAAAATACAAAAACATCTGCTTAAAAAATTACCAAAACATAAAGAAAATGTGACTTTACTGACTCACATTTTAGTCATGAATGATCTCAGCATAACAGTTTTCCTTAATTATGCACTTGTTTCACAATTTTATTATTAAACCACCAAAAAAAAAAAAAAAAAAAAAAACAGGGATGTCCCAGTTTTTTGTTTTTTTTTTTTTTTGTTTAGTTTTTTTTTTTTTAATTTTGAAGTTCTGGTCACCCTATACATAGTTCACCTTTAACTTGATTGTTGGCCAGTGTATTTTATTTGATATGTCTTTTTTTTTTTTTAAATTTTTTATCATTTAACAATGTTGAGTTTTGGGACCATTTTCTTATTATTCTTTAGTTAAATTGTTTTAATGCCACTAGATTGCTAATAAATCTTAATCTGGTTATTATTAAAATGATTTGTATCCACTTGATGGCGCTAATGAGCTGTGTTCCTTTTTGTACTAAACGAGGTGCTTTAAATATTGTCTCTTCTGAGTTTCCGTAGTGCATCAAAATGAACGCTACCTGCCTGTGTTTTGGCACATTTATCGAGCTTTAAAATGATATGATTCACGTTAACGACACAGAAAGGTAACGCGCCCGATATAATATTGTTTTATCAACAATTATGCATGCATTTAACGTTCTTTTTTGAGCTACGAAGCTTTGACAGCTCTCAGATCAAAATCTCTTGTGCTAACAATGCTAATGCTAACAACAAGGCAAACGTGATAGCTAGCGCACGATTATGCAAAATATAAATAAATGCTATGTTTTATTATGTATTCAGGAATTTAAATGTATGCGAGCTTGATTTTTTGCATTGTTTGTAGGTACAGGGACATGATGGCAGAAAGATGACCCGCAGTGAAGCTATGAAGAAGCTCCTGTCTCTGTAATTGCAGTAGTGCTGACAGGTATGCCTTTATCTTCAATGTCAGGCCGTTCAACCATTGCATCAAATGGCTTGCGAATAACAACATATAGTCGTTAATCTTGTAGTTGTAGTTATGAAGCAGCCCTGTAAGAATCTTTGAATGGTGCATTTAGTTGTTTGTTTATATTACAGATCACAAAGAGAGACCCATGCTTTCTGATGAACTTGACTCCAAACCAGAGGTAATGTTGCGTCAAAATGTCAGTCTGTATTTAGATAGCTTTGATCTGTTCTTCAGTCTATTCCAATTGAGATTATAAAAATGTACTGATATCCTATCAACATATCCACAATTATATGAGATATTTAAAAGGAAAATCTCAAAATGTTGTAAGGGTTTCACCACATTACAGGTACAATAACAATGGTGATGTGTTTAATCTTTAGCAACCTGTAGAGTATGATCTGATTGTACATCTGAGGTAGTGCTGACTCTAAGCCTGTATTAATTGTTTTCTCCCCCCTCAGCTGCTGGTGCAGTTTGTGCAGAGTGCGTCCATCCCTCTGGTGCAGGGTCTGGAGGAGACCGGGGCTAAGTCCTGTGTCCCTCTGCTGCCCCCTGCTGTCAGCTCCCTGTGCAGTCCACTGCAGCTCTCAGGTCAGTGGCTACTATAGGCTGTTAGTGGTAATTGTTAAGGTATAATTTATTTTTTATTTTATTTTTTTTAGTAACAGGCAAGACTGGCAATGTTATGGTTCATTTGCAGTGTTTTTGTTTATTATATATTAATATATTAAATTTAAATACTCGAACTGTATAAAAAACAAAGCAGGCCCTTTTTCTTAACTTACAAAGTTGAATTAAATTAAACCAGTATATTTTGGCACACATAAATCGTCAATTATTTCAGAATATATGGGATTTAAACAAAGTGAATTATCTTAAACATCTGATAACAAGTGTTTAAATGATATTAAATCATATTGTACTGATTGTATTAAATCAGTTAATCAGATCAGTTAATCAAATGTTAAGTTCAGATGGATTTGTTTAGAAGAAAATATATTTTTATTTTCCCCCTTTCTTGCTTTGTAAATTGTCCTGAAAATGCAAGAAAAGCCTCTCACTGCTGTCACAAGGACCAAAGTTAAGCACAGGGCCATACAGAGCTGACAGCGTTGAAATCAATGATGTCAGTGCAATAGTTAATGGCATAGTTTGTTTTATCTCATTCATAAAAGATTTCCCCAATTGCCAGTGGGTCAAAATATGATCACACTGAATACAATCTTTTTTTAGTTTTAGTTTTTACCATTCTGTAGTTTGCCAAACATTTTTAGTGGAGGAAGAAGGGGAAGGGGAAATAGAAAAGTGAATCCAAATTGAATTTATTGAGAAAAAACTCAAAATCCCTCAGCCCTACTTTATACTTAAGACTAGGCTATTTTTAAAGATGTGAAAGGGCAGTGAGCTATATAATTTGACAGTCTGTTATGAAGTTGCATTAAAGTTAAAAATGCTGATGCTGCGTGTTGTCAGAGTATCGCTGTTTATGTGTACAATATTAGAGTGCTGGATAATCCTCTTGTTTCATTAGATAGCTGTCCCCTGGAGGCACAAATTATTCAAGCAATGACTTAAATTAATGCCATAAGCCTTCAGCACAGAGAGGGCCATTAAGCCTGACTCCACTGCTGCGAAGGGCGTCATTCACTTAAAATGCCTCACTGTTCACAGTGAAACAAGTGACCCTCAAAGTAACAGCGTTTAGCACTTAAAATTTATCTCTTGCTGAACTACAGTTTAAAAGCTCTATATTCCTTTAAACGGGTGTTTTAAAAATACTTTAAGCACTTAATATGTTATTTAAAGTTACATAAATAAAAAGCCTTAGAAATAACTCAAAGATTTTACTTGACTATGTCTATAAAGAGGGGCAGCAGGGGAGCTCAAGCATCTGTTGGTGCACTTTAGGAAGGTACACATTGGTGGCAACTTTTTATTTTACAAACTGTGAAAAAGGGCTCCAAAAAGCACAGATTAAAAACAAATATTTTTAAACTTCAATATAAGGGCCAAGGCCTCTAAGTACAGTTTGTATATTGAATAGTGTGAACATCTCCTATGACTCACTTTTGGATTGGCCAAATAATCAGTGGGAGCGGCACACAGAGAGAACCATGACCTCACGAAGGCCCATTGATCAAAATGTTGTCATTCATTAAATGCAGTTTGGGAGTAAGTGTGCAGGCTTTGTCTCACTTTCTAAGGGCTCTAAGTCACATTTCAGACTTTTTGTAGCATGATACTTGAGCATAAACTTCAACATTTATAAACATGTTTGAGCATGTTGCATAGAGATAGTACAAAAAACAATTATTGATAATCACTTTTATCAACATTGCCCTCTTGTCAACAAAATGTAAATGAAACAAAAACAGCACAAACTTAGAAACATAGACTGAATGGACATAGCTGCCACGTTCCAAATAGGAAGTGACCATGGGGGCACTTCCATCTCTATCAGTGGTTCCAGCTGACTTTATTTTTAAAAAAATTGTCACCCTTCTCTCTGTAACTGCTGCTGTCAGGCTCTTCATTTTGGTCTAATCTTGGTTTTCTTCTTCTTTTTTATACAGTCTAAGGTTAGAACAGTATTTCATGGTTAAAAGCTCGATTGTGTTGTTTACCAGATGAGGGTCTGAGCCATGGGCCGGGCAGTCCTCCCTCTCTCTCTGAGTTCAGGGCGGTTTCTGAGGACAGTTCTTTGGTTCCTGGACACCACCCCTCCTCCCACAGTCCCTCTCCCCTCCTCCATGACCTTCAGCAGACTGATAACAGCTCCTACGTCCTGCTTAACCTCGCCAAAGGTAAACACAAGAATCTACTTTTATATTAGTACATGAACATATTTATTTGGCTATTTGATTGTTACTGGGGACAAAAGTGGCAGGATACTCATAGTTGTTAGATCTATCAACAATTAAGTATAAAAAAAAAAAAATAACAAAACAATGCCTCAGTATCTATAAAATATGATTGGCCTGTAGAATGGTGTAACGTTATCTGAAATCCAGCAATAACTGGAAGCACCACAGAGAGTGGATCTAATCACCGAGTTATCTGATTATTATTATTCTAGTTACCTGATTTTACTGGCCTTATAAACATGCCTTCTCTCTTTCTCTCTCTCCGCTCCAGCCTCCTCAGAGTCCCTGATCTTCGCCGATGGTCCAGATGACGATGAGGAGGATGGAATTTCTTCGGGGGACTATGGGGTGGATGGAGCGCCGTGGTACCTGCGCGTTCAGGAGCTCGCCCACGACAGCCTCATCGCCGCCACACGTGCTCAGATCGCACGAGACGCCAGAGCCAATCAGGAGGCCCGGGCTGTAACCACAGTGACCAACGGTAAAACATAGCCAGATAGTCAAATCTACTGTTATTGACACTTTACACCATTTGCACCAGACTTTTAATCTCTGCAATGTCTTAAACTGCACATTTCAATGCATAGCTATATAGGCACCTTTGCATATAACAGGCAGTAAAGTATAGAAAAGGTAAAATAAGGTCTCTCGAGTCTTCACTAACTTTTAATCTTCAAATCTATGGTAACAGAATCTTGTCTCAAATTTTGTTGTGATGGGTCTGTCAGGCTTAGAGCTGAAATCCAGAGCTACTGTAGATTATAATGAAATCGCATCTGCTCCTCTCGACATTTTTGCGCCGTGTTTACAAATTCTGCAACTAATGAAGGCCCCAGAGACTTGAAGGCTCCTGTCACCAACTTAATTATAGATTTGGACTAAACAGGAAAACTCAACAAAAAGATCAAAAAGATAGGAATGCAATATTTGTCTTGGTGCCTTAGTAGTTAACAATTCTGCCCAAAAACAAGGAGGTTTTGAGTTCGATTCCTGAATTAGTTTGGGCCTTTCTCTGTGAAGTTTGCAATATAGGTTTTTAATCTACGAAGTTTAACACAGGAAAACTTATTTCTTCCTGTACATTCTGAATCAACTCCAAACCACATGCAACTTAATATTGTTACCTCATCAAAAACATACTTGGAGTTGTTTTTTGTTTCATTCACAAGTTTGAGTAATTCTTTACTATTAGTCTAATATCTCCCAAGCTCACAATGTTCTGTTCCACCTTGTGATGTCAAGAAGTGGTAGTTTTCAAGTTAACAGCTACCTTTTACCACTTGAGAGAAGAATTCAACTTAAATATTTGTTTGTTAGTTTGTTAAACATGTGTGAATAAACAAAACTAAACCCCAGATCAGTTTCTGATGAGGAAACAACATTATAGCATGACTAGGGCTGCGTTCAGACTGCAGCCTGAAGTGACCCAAATCCGATTTTTTGGCTTCTATGTGACCTGTATCCGATCTTTTAATGACAGTCTGAACGGCACAGATCCGAATTTTTCAAATGCGACCCAGGCCACTTGGATATGTGGTCCTGAATCTGATACATATCCGATCTTTTGACATGCGACTTCAGTCTGAATGGCCAAAGCGCATCCATCCGACCTACACGTCATTAACAAGCGACAAACGTCACTATTCTGCGCTGAAGCAGGCGGAAACCGGAACTGTAAAATCGCCAGGTGCTCAATGCTCGCGACCATATTTGGACAACTTCCGTAAACACAGAGCACGCTCGCTGCGGTTGACGCATGGGGTTGACGTCATCGTGTCTCCAGTGCGCATGCGGGACACTTTCGGGCCGTTTACCGTTCACACTGAAGTCACAGACAAGTCGCATTTAATTGGAAATGTGAACGACCTCGCAAAAACATCGGATTTCACAAAAAAATCGGAATTGAGCATTAAGCCCTGCAGTCTGAACGTAGCCTAAGAAGTAGCATAAAATTAAAAGCCCCAAGCTAATTGACCATTGCAAATAACTGTATCTCAGTCTCAATCCAAATTCTATTAACTGCCCTACTGTTTTATTATGGTACATTTCCTGTCCTTATAAAGCAGAAGTCCCTATATCCACCAATCTATTCATGTTTTTAAGTGCCATCGGATCCTCCACAAATGCCAAAACATATCATATTTTGTATAAAAACTGCTAACCCTGTAGTTTAGATCGCTACAAGCATGCTCTGAAATGTGAATCTTGTATTCTATTAACTGCTCTGCCCTACTGTTTTTACTATATGGCACATTCCCTGTCCTTATGAAGCAGAAGTCCCTTTATCCACCAATCTAACAACACACAGCACGATTCTGACCGAATCTTCACTTTCAGTTTTAAGCAGCTCCACATGTCTCCTCCCAGATTACACGGTTCACTGTCATAGCGTCCGCTGGCTACATCTCTGATCTCTGCTCCCTCCTGTGACAAATTACAGCTCAAATTTTGTGGGAAAAGTGAACTGTATTACACAGAGATTTTCAATGCCCCTTACTGTGTGGATCTGATTGAGGACAGTTTATGTTTTTAAGTACTATCAGCTCCTACACGAATGACAAAATATATTGTGACTTAATCTGTATAAAAACTGCTCATACTGTAGTTTAGATCTGTACAAAAATGTTCTCATATGTGATTCTTGTATTTGTTAGTATGTCAATTATATTTCAGTCTTTTTGTCAATTCTTTTGGACATCTTTAAAATGTGAACTTTGAACTGAATCCTATTATTAACATAAATTACTCATCTAATCACAACATCATACAGATAAAAAAATGCAATTCAATATTTTTCTACTATTCTAAATTAAAGATCTACTGAGTAACATTCTGGTGGGAGGTCTGTGACATGCTTGTTTCCATGGAGATTATTGCATATGGCATTAAACTTGTTTGTCTAGCATTTATTTCATAGGTAGTTTTCTTGCTCAAACGTATCTTGAAAATGGGGCTGCACATTATATCACAATTGGTTTAAAATGAAAATTTGATTTGGTGCGATTATTAATGTCAAAATCAATGTCATTATTTTGGTAATCAGATGTCCTGTTCAAACATGTTCAGAAATTGAAATGATTCTTGTATTAGTTTTTCAGTTCATATTTCAGCCTTCTCTCAAATGAACGTATGAGAAGGGCAGCCTCGCCATAAACCAGATCTGTATTGATTGATTGGTCTGGCTGCGCAACCTGCTGGTCTTTGTGGATAAGTTTACAGGGTATCCGCTAAGTCTTAAAAATCTTAGAAAGGTCTTAAATTTTATGTTCCTAAATTAAGGCCTTAAAAAGTTGTATTTTATTCACATTGGTCTTAAATTTCATTAGCCTATTTTTTGTTTACTCAACCGGGCTGCAGTGCAATGTTAAATAGAAAGAGCGAAAACGGCATGAAATAACGTAACGTGAATAAACTTCTAATTTGGAGTATGCGCAAACAATACTTTGGTTTCAGTTCCATCTACACTGCCCAAGACGCAAAACTCTGGTCAGATCTGCTCACATCGCGTACGTGTTTACGTCAAATACATCACCAGCGTCAGGTCTGAGCTGCCTGATGTGCATACCCAATCCAATTCCACACACTTTTGCATCACCGTATGCATGCAGATTTCCTCCCGAAAACGCTCATCTAAATGCAGAATGAAAAGTGAAGACGCTATGCCACTTTTGTTTCTTCTGTCAGGACCATCATCATATAAACATAGCTTTAGATTCTAGATATAGTACCGGTAGTTGGTTGGTCATTATTAGAATTAAACCTGGTGTTTTTTGCCCGCATAATGGGTGTGACGTTGGTCTTAATTTTCATTTAAGTGGTCTTTAAAAGGTCTTAAAAAAGTCTTAAATTTGGGGTAGTCAAACCTGGGGATAACATGGTTTCATGCCATACTGTGGAACATTTCTGGCAAAATAAAAACATCTCTGTGGAGACGAGCAGATGGCAAACCAGACTCTCCACGCAAAATGACATTGTGCAACTTGAACTCATTTAAATCCATAAAGCTATGAATGTTTTTACAGTTTTCTAGTGACAGTCCTGTAGCAGCTGTAACAGGTTTCAGTCCCTCTCTGTTCTGGGGGCTAATGGTCGCTCTCCCACATGGATGCATTAGATTAGCCTGGCTTCCTTTAGCAGTGGGGCTCCAGTTATTCATGTGATTCTGCTGTGATGCTAACGCTAACTGGAGCGGCTAAAGGCTTCTCTGTGCAGGGAGTCGGGCTGTGTTAAAAAGGCAGTGATTGCATTCAGATCGGGGCTGTGTTCTGTGGGATTAGCTTTTCTACAGAACAGGGACTGAACAGCTGCATGGTTTAGAGCCTGCACTGTAAAAAATGAACAGGTATTGATACTAAAAAGTCACTTGGACAGAAAAGAACCTTTCCTGAAAAGCTTTAGAATGATTTTGTGCTGTATCAGAACAAGTATAAGAGCACAAAGATTAGTATACACCCATGGACCACTATGGAACCTACCTGGACCACTGAGACCACATTCTGCTGTCTTAAAAAAATAACAAAACAAAAATGGATAAACAAAACTTTATTTTTTTGTCTTTCCATTTCGTAGGCGACCTGACGCACAGTTTAACCTCAGACGCTGCAGACAGGAGGAGGTGCGTCTCCCCTCGATCTTCTCGGTCGGTCCCAAAGTCCGTCCTTCACTGTTCCTTCGAAGGCTGCTGTAGGACCTTCACATGGCCAGCTCATCTCAAATACCATCTCAAAACACACAGGTACAAGACTGGCACTTCACATTCGCTTGTTTCGTTACCATCACCTTTTTTTTAACACACATGTTGAAGATTCACATAAGTAACATGAAGTATCATAGTACCATATTTTCCTGACTATAAGTCGCTCCAGAGTACAAGTCCCACCAGCCAAAAAATGTGTAATGAAGAAGAAAAAAACAAATATAAGTTGCACTTTTTGGGGAAATGTATTTTATAAAATCAGAGACCAGGAACCAATATTTCATCTTGAAAGACAAGTTATAGTAACAACAACACAATAGAGAACAACAGGCTGAATAGGCGTTAATATGTTCACCTCACATATTAACAGTTATTCAGATAATTATAGCATAAACAACATAACATATGTTTACCAAACTCACGATCTCAATCCAAATCACTATATCCATTGAATTCTTCCTCGGTGCCACTTCTGCACGACCTCCGGAGATAAACCATAGATCCATGATGTAAACAGAGTGACACACAAGCCTAGAGCGCCCTCTCGCAGCTGTCAGTCTGAAAATTTTTATATATAAGTCACACTGGAGTCGCATGACCACCCAAACCATGAAAAAAGAGCTACTTATAGTCTGAAAAATACGGTTATTTATATCTATCTAGATATATAAAAAATGTGTTTCTCACCTTCCACGGTGGTTGGTCTCTCACCCTCATTCAGCTCAGGTCCTCTACCAGAGGCCTGGGAGCTTGAGAGTTCTGCGCAGTATCTTTGCTGTTCCCAGTACTGCACTTTTCTGGACTGAGATGTCCGTTGTTTTTCCTGGTATCTGTTGTAGCCTCTTCCAGTTTGGGGGTTACAGCCCCGAGTGCTCCGATCACCACAGGTAGCACTGATGCCTTTACTTTCCAGCTCTTCCTTGAGCCCCTGGTATTTCTCTAGTTTCTCGTGTTCCTTTTTCCTGATATTACCATCGCTTGGTATTGCGATGTCCACCACCACTGACTGTTGGTTCACCATCACCATCCTGTCAGTCTGTATCTGGAAGTCCCACAGGATCTTAGCTCGGTCATTCTCCACAACCTTTGGAGGTGTTTCCCACCTTGATCCTGGGGTCTCCAGCCCGTACTCTGCACAGATGTTTCTGTACACTATGCCCACCACTTGGTTATGTATGCTTTCCCTGCCAGCATCTTACACCCTGCAGTTCTGTCTCAGGAGCCTCTTTGCACAGTCTACACTGTGGGTCTTGTCTGGTGGATCCGGGCCTCTATTGCTCAAGTGCCCAGGGCCTGCTCCTGAGCAGCCAGGATCAGTGCCTCTGTGCTGTCCTTCAGACCAGCCCTCTAAAGCCACTGGTAGGATTTCTTGATATCAGCCACTTCAGTTATGTTCTGGTGGTAGGGGTTTGTCCTGCCATGATGGTCCCTTCAGCACCTCTTCCTCTGGACCCCAGTGTCTGAGACATTCTCTCAGCTCCTCATCTGTCGGGGCCTTGTCCTTGATGTACTCGAGGAGCTTGGATGTTTCATCCTGGACAGTGGTTCACACACACACACACACGGCCTCCTTCCTTCCGGCTTGCGTACAGTCTCAAGGTGCTGGAACTCTCCATGCATGGGCAGGAGCTTTCGTCTTAACATCTGTATCTCCTCCTTTGGCCAGCTTACAGTTACTGCAGGGTATAGCTACTGATTGCCTGCGCCTTGTTCTTGCCATTGAGCTGGCTTCTTAGGACTTGCCTCACTCTTTGCAGGTCGTAGCCTTGTGGGATACCAAGGTACTTGTAACTGTCCTCAACATCTGCTATTGTTCCCTCTGGGAGTGAGACCCCCCTCTGTGTGGACTACCTTCCCTCTCTTTGTCACCATCCTGCTACATTTCTCAAGCCTGAATGACATCCCAATGTCTGTACTGTAGATCAGTGAGTCAATGTCTCGCTCACTCTTAGCGTACAGCTTGATGTCATCCATGTAGAGGAGGTGACTGATGGTGGCCCCATTTCTGAGTCGGTATCCATAGCCAGTGCTATGATTTGGCTGAGGGGGTTCAGACCTATGCAGAACAGCAGTGGGGACAGTGAGTCTGATTGCCACATTTGATGGACACTTGTGCAAGTGGCTTGCCATTGGTTTTCCACAACCGCATCAAGTTTGCAATGCTGATATTGTACAGCTCCAAGCACTCAGTGATCCGTGTGTGTGGCATCGAGTCATAGGCTTTCTTGTAATCAATCCAGGCAGTGCACCAGGAGTTGGTATATAATATATATATATATGATTTTATATATAGCATGCATATTTTATATATATAAAATATATATAAAGTATCACATTAGAATATTTAAAGGTCCTATATTACGTAAAATTGCCTCTCATGATCTTTAAGCCATGTTATAATGTTGTTTATTATTATTTTGTCTACATCTCCGTTCCACCTTGTGATGTTGTGTAGCTTAGTAGATTTGGGCTTATAACGGCTACCTTTCACCTTTTGTTCAGTGTAGGTTGGCATTTCCAGGTCTGAAATTATCCAAATGATTCTAGGGAAGGTGTATGGAGTTTAAAAACACAGTGGAGCACTTTCTGTATTACCGCATGACATCACAAGGTAGAACAGAGTATTTTCTGTTTGAGAGGAACTCAGCTTAAATATGCAGGGTTTGTGTGATTGAAACAAAACACTCCAGGTATGTTTGTGATGAGGAAACAACATGACTTTCAGATGATTTATTTATTTGTAGGACTGTTAGTTTCAGGCAAATTTTTTCTTCCATTCTATTCTAAGTTTTCCCTATTCCCTATTCAAAAGAGATAATGTTATAATAAAATCTCTCTACTGTGCGAATGCCAAATGTAGACGGCTAAAGGACATTGTTATCAGGTTTTACTCATGATAAGAACCCACAGAGACACAGGTAATTTTATTTTCTCTGCTGCATTCACACATTTTGGTCCCATTTCTACCATTTTCCCACCGCAAATAAGCCCTATAAATGAAAAAAAGATAAAATTACTGCTTTCAGATAGGGCTCCAAGCAATGATTATTTTAGTATATGACTAGTCAAAGGAGTATTTCTGTGGTACTTTGAAATGTTTTTATTTTTACAAAAAGGTTAAATGTGGTGGTTGAAGGTTTTCTAATGGTGGTTTTATTGATGAAAATCCAAAATTGTTTACTTGTTTTGACATTTTGATTTAAAGGTCCAATATTATGCGGGATTGATTCTAAATTTTAAGGCATATTATAATCTTGTTACTGCATCAAAAACATACCTGGAGGTGTTTTGTTCCATTTACACATGTTTGAGTAACCCTGTACTATTAGTCTGTATACATTTCCAAAGCTCAAAGTGCTCTGTTCTACTTTGTGATGTCATGAAGTGGTAGTTTCCAAGTTAACAGCTACATTTTACCTTCAGTCTGTAATATGGACCCTTTAATAAATCTACTGTTTTTGTTATAAAATCGTAATTGTTAATGATTACAATTACAATTTTTTTCAACTCATAACTAATCGTGATTATTCCAATTAATCGTTAGACTTGGACTGAGACAAATTTTATTGACCACAAGGGACTTGAACACAGTAGCACACACATCACAATATATTATAATAACAAAAAGAAAAAATATAAATGATAATAAAAAATTCTAAATAAGTCTTAGAAATAGCAGGAGACTGTGTCATATAAGGCGTTGCAGTCTTTCAGATTCATTTAATTTTTGTCTTTTGTAGGAATGATCGTATGTTCCGGTGTGTGGCTGAGGGCTGTGGGAAGAGCTTCTATGTTCTTCAGAGGCTCCAGGTTCACATGAGGACTCACAATGGAGACAAACCCTTCATCTGTAAAGAGAAAAACTGTGGCAAGAAGTTCACTACTGCGGGGAACTTGAAGAACCACAAACGCATCCACACAGGTCAGTCAAAATATCTTCTATATCGACTTATCGTTCAGAAAATTATAGATGTAGCAATCATTTTTGGGGGTTAATATTTATTGTTTTGTAATATGTATTTTTACCAGTGGTGGAAGAAGTACTCGGTTTTGTTACTTAAATAAAAGTACAGATACCAGAGCAAAAAAAAACAAAAAAACACTCAAGTAAAATAAAAGTATCACCTTAAGTATTAAAGTACCTGTAAAATTGTGCTCAAAGAATAAAAAGTAAAATTATTCCACACCGATTCTGAGGTCTTAAAATTGTATCAAAATCAATGTGAAGCCTTTTGTTTTTTGTCTTGCTGTTTTTATTTGTATTTTTGTGTTAAAAATAAACTCTCAGGCTTTTTAGCAGATTTCACAATCTTAAAAAATACATTTGCTTTTTTACTCCTGTTCAAAAATGTGAATGTGAAAAAGCGAAGTAAAAGTAAAAATTATCCACTTTAAAATCTACTCAAGTAAAGTACCGATACCTAAAATATATACTTAAGTACGTACCTTGCAAATACTACTTTTACTGTTACGTTCCGCCACTGATTTTTACTAATGGGACTTTGTTATTTTTCTGTGAAACAATAAGATCTGAGCTGTAGGGCTGAATAATAAACTTAACTACTAGTGTTTAGAATTGCATTTAGAATTATTTCTTGGGATATTGCTACTTTAGGATGATTGTTTTAGGGGCATAAATTAGTTTAAATATTATTGTTTACTGCCTGTATATTCCTCAACTGTATGTTGTACTTCAAAATTACAAACAGAAAAGGGGAGAAGGGAGGAGGGGGCACAAACACATAGACAGAGATGCGTAGTACTCAGTTACATTTATTTTAAGTATATTTATTTTAGTAACTTTTAACTTTTTCTATTATTATATGTGTAGGAATAGTTTTGAAACCTCATACTTTTACCCCTACATAAGTCATGTATTTTACAGTGTCATGGTAAAGTTACTCTTCCCCAGAGGTGGACAGTACTCAGAACATTTTGTTTCTTTCACCACTTCTTCAGATATGATTTAGTTTTTCAGTTTCGTCAATCTTTTGAAAACGCCATATTTTACTAGATGGTGTGCTATGAAAGAAGTGCTCTTACTTTTGTCTAGTTCTTTGCTAAAACGTTTTGCAGTCGGGCTTTAATTTCAAATAATAGGTCAGGTGTTACATCATCAGACAATTATGGAAGTGAATCGAAAAGAGTGTATTCAACTCATCAAAACTTTAAAACCTATTTTAATTATACAGTGATTTTCTGATGGGTTTGTGTTTTGTATTTCAGGAGAGAAGCCTTTTCTGTGCGAGGCAGACGGCTGTGGGCGCTCCTTTGCTGAGTATTCGAGTCTCCGCAAACACATGCTGGTTCATTCAGGTGAGAGGACGGACCACGCAGCTGTTCAGTTCAGTATAGATTTGTCTAAATGTTCATTTTTTATTTTTCATCAGGGGAGAAGCCTCATCTGTGTGGGATCTGCGGGAAGACATTCTCTCAGTCCGGAAGCAGAAACGTTCACATGAGGAAACGCCACGGAGAGGAAAGTGTCAGCCACGAACCACGAGACACAGGTCTAAACTTCACACTAAACTTACACATTAAAGGGACAGTCTGGAATTTTGGACATAGTACCTCAATTCCTTGTGATCCAGAGTGTTGGAGACGTGGGGAGACTCTTTTTAAAATATTCCATCCAGTCCTTGTATTTGCAGAGGTCGCTGTTATTAGGCTAGTGCATGTCAATGGCCATAGTTAGTCCAGTTCAAATTCCAGAGTATCCCTTTAAAGCTGCACTGTGTAACTTTTCTGGTATGACAAGACTTCCCAAGTCTTTGTCCCCATAGAGATGCTGTTATTTTTTCTGGAATGTTCCACAGTATGACATCTATCTTGCATTTATTCAATTACACATGTTTGATAACAGATACAAAACATGCATTCTTACTATGAGCGGGGTTTCTTCTCCACAGATCTGACATGTAACTTGGCCTGGTGGTGTCACTTGCTTGTCTCAGTAGAATGGTTACATTTAATGCCATACTGTGGAACATTCCAGGCAAAGCAATTACATTCCCAAAGTTAATGTTAAAAATGTAATTACTGACACTTTGACATTTCGCTGGGGGTGTTCTACGTGTATCTCTATAGTGGAATGTTCACAGCAATTACTATGGAGACACAATGCATGCCAAAAAGTTTTTACATTGCCTGAAAATTCAAGAAAAATATACTAAATTGATTTAAACAGCACATTTTCAGGAGCCTGTGATCGATACGAGTGTTCATGGTCCAAAAAGGAGAGAGCGTAGTGCCTTCAGTTAGCATCACACTCTCAGGGAATATTGGGATAATAATGAAAATATCAATAACTGCACTTTTATTTAGCCTATTATATCTAAATCCAGTCCACATGATCCATTTTTAGGCCCTGACCCTCTGTTTGAGAACCAGGCTTTTGTAGCTGTGGGCTGTTATGCCGTTTTAATTCATTGAAAATATGGCTTCCAGCTGTTCACGTTATTAAAAATGTGCATAGAAATACGCTTAGCTTCAGTAACATTTAAAGACAGACCATGAATTATTAATGGGTTTCTGTACTTAAAAATTTATCAGTCAAATTTTTTATTCTTTGGGGCACAGTGAGGAATCATATTAAATTAAAATGTGTGAAAGTGTCTTAAATATGCTCTGAACAGGCTCACATTGGCTTTCAACAAATTACTGAGTATAGAGAATTCAGAGAGCGCAAAGGTTCGTCTAATATATCACAACATTTTATGGACCATTACTGATACTCCTAACTGAAGTACAGCGTTATAATTATTCCCATGGAGATAAGAAGTTGGCACAGAGTTACAGGTCTGATCTGTGGAGGAGAGGCATTTCCACAGTCACAGAAAGAGTGCATGTTTTTCAAGGTCATTTTTTACTATTTCCAAGTGAACTCAGTAACCCACTCAGACGCAGGGAGAAACTTGCAAACTCCTCACAGAAATATCTGGTCAGCTTTGGTAAAATTTCCCGTATTTCCAAATTCTGCTTTGGGCTTTATAATTTCATAGCTCAAGTTCAACAATGCTCAAGGGCTTTATTCCCTGATCTATGTTATAATATTGTTTCCTCATCAAAAACATATCTAGTTCTTCTCTCAAAGCTCAAAATGCTCTGTTTTGTGGTGTCATGTGGTAATACAGGAAATGCTCCAGTGTGTTTTTGAACTCCATACACCTTCACTAGAATCATATGGATAATTTCAGCCCTGGAATTGCTCATTTCTACTGAACCAAATCTAAAAAGGAGCTGTTAAGTTGAAAACTACTGCTTCATAACATTCACAAGGTGGAACAGAACAGTTTGAGCTGAGAGGATGTAGACAAATAATACAGGATTACTCAAACACAACTCCAGGAATGTTTTTGAGGTGGTAACAACATTGGAACACAACTTTAAGCTCACTAGAGTCAATTTTGCATAATAGAGGACCTTTAATATTTTCTTTAACTGATAATTTGACTCCTAATAACACTCAGACTCCTAGTATAAAACTCAAATCTTATGTTGCTTCCAGGCGAGGCGCTGACACAGAGCAGTTTACTGGAGGTTGATGGTGAAAACACAGACGGGATGGTCTCCATGACGACGGCCGTGGAACCAATGAACCTTCACCACGCCATGCTCAGGGCTCCAGGTACGCTAGGTCTTATTACTGGCATTTAAAAAGGGAATATACCTGTTTTTTCATGTCATAAAGTATCATTTGTCTTACCCCAGTATATATATATTAAAGCACCTCCTAACACAAAGATTAAGTCAGCTAAGCAAGTTCTTTCTGGTCAGATAACTCAGATTAAAGTCTAACAAAGCCTCAGACAGAGCAGGGCCTCCAGTTAGCATCACACCCTCGAAGAATGTGGATGACATCAGCTGCTCTTTACGTTGACATTTTGAAAACATGTGAACGTTTGTGTCATTTTCAAATAATTTGCCATAAAATGCACATTATTCTTAACATTTGTCTGCCTGATGTTTGAATCCTGGAACATCTTCTCAGCAGAATTGTCACCACTTATTTTTTATTACAGGCCATAAAGCTCTACAACCCTCCACTGGGCTGTAGAATATATTTGAGTTATCAGCGATTTAAAGACAAGAACATGAACTGTGAGGGAAATTTATAATATTCTACAAAAGAGGGTAGCTTAAGGACACTTTGGCTTTGGTGGACAGAGGACGAATCACCTCCACTATGCAGCAAACTTTAATGTTAGTAGATATGGTCAAGTATGCTTACTTTTTAAATCCTATATTACACATAATTTATTCTTGTGATCTTTTAGCTGTGTTAGAATGTTGTAACGCCATCCAAAACATATCTGGAGTTGTGTTTTGTTTCACTCACACATGTTTGAGTAATCCTTTATTATTAGTCTGGCTTCATCTTTAAAGCTCAAAATGTTCTGTTCCACCTTGTGTCATCAAGCGGTAGTTTCCAAGTTTAACAGCTCCTTTTACCTTTTGTTCAGTCGAGTTTGGCAATTTCAGGGCACCAATTAATGTTGGGCACAGATATTTTATATCAGGTGAACATTTTTGTGTCTTACACCGCTTTAGTGATAATTTTGTTTTTCTAATGTTTGTGGTCTGTCCATTGAAAATACCAGATTTGTGCATTAAAGCCACACTGTGTAACTTTTTAGCAAAAAACATGCATCCTTACTCTGCAAACTCTACAAACTTGACTTTTATTTGGCCTGGAATAGGGCCACCTTCTGCTTGTTTCCATGGAAATATTGTCCCTATGCTATAATATTCCACACCATGACAAAACTTGTGTCCCTCTATCATGGTACGGAGCAATGTATGGTTCAAGTTTTTATTTCCATGGAGTCATGCAGGTGAAGCATTACCACGAGAATGTTGCATACTGTACTGTAATGAACCTTTAACTTATGTTATTCCTACTGTTATTCTTACTGAAGTAGAATAAATACTTATACTTATGTATTGGGTCAAGCAGGCAAATTATTTAAAAATATTTATAAGTTGAGTGATTAGACTCTTGAGTAATATTAAAGTAACAGTACTATAACTTGTAAACAGTTTTGCTCACTCTCTCCACCTCTAATAAAGTGGTACTTATGTTTTGTTCTTTTGTCCAGGTTCATCAGACTCCGTGGTGGTCCTCTCTCAGCCTCACGACCTTGTTTCCATGACGACAGATGCACATTCGTACGACGAGGACGTGGTCACGCTACTTTAGCTTACAAAAAAAATAACAAAAACACAAACTGCACAAATGTAGATACATGTAATTAGTAGTACAATAATAATGCTTTTATTTTGTCAAGTACAAATAGTTTTTACAAATAGCCATTTCCTTCCAAAGAAATCCAACACGGGTTAAAAAGTCTCTATAAATATAAGAACCATGCATCGTTTTGTGCTTCACTGTTGTAACCGAAGAGGTAAGACTGAATTATGTGCCATGTCGGCCATCTTGTCATCATTAAAGGTGCACTGTGCAACTTTTCTGGTGGAGGGTCCTACATCTGCTCGTCTCCATGGAAATGTTTTTGCTTTGCCTAGAATATTCCATGGTGTGACTTTAAACATATCCATCTAGTGTTTATTCATTACAGATGTTTCTATTGTTCAAAAATACAATAATTCCTTCTGTGAATAGGGACAACACTCCACAGATCTGAACTGCTGTAACCTGTTTGTCTTCCTCGTGATAGATACGGGTTCAGTCTATATTGTGGAACATTCTAGATAAAGCAGTAACATTTCCATGGAGACATCAAATGGCAGACCCTCCACCAGAAAAGTTACACAGTGCACCTTTAAAACGCTTGTTACTACAAAAAATGAAAATGTACATTGGTTAAAATTACTAATTCAAAAAAAGGCGATGTACCTGATTTCTTCCCAAGTATTGAGCAAAATTTGTCTTGCACCAGTATAGATATATTGTATAAGCAGCTCTTGGAGTCAGAATAAGTCTTCTGTGCGGCATCTGCATTATAAAACGTTGTATTGTCAGATAATCAGGAAGTGCGTGGTTAGCATTACCTAGGCCTGTCACGATAATAACCATATTGATTTATCGTTCAATGTATGATCACTGGAACAATATATTTTGGGGCTCAATATTTATCGTGTGTACCATTTCTTTGCAGAAGTTGGGAAGCTTTTTGTTATTTTTTTTGTAATAGGGTGAGATTTAAACTGGAGAGAGTAGAATACATAACTTCTGTGACTAATTATTTGTTCATTCTGCTGTTAATTTGTTGCAGCTCAGACCTTTTAATGATACAGACTATTTAAAAATGTTTTACTGGGATCATCTTGCTTTGTTTTTGTGTCCGTGGCATAAAGTAGTTTCAGTATTATCATTTTCTGTTATAATCTAATATATCGTGCTTCAACATGTGTTATCGTGACAAGCCTAGCATTACCGTGACTCAGTTCTGGTCTCTCAGAGTTGTGAAAAGCACTTATAAACTCGTCATGGTGAATAATTAGGATGCTCAGAATGCATAAGGTAATTGAGGAGTAACTTTGGACCACTGCAAACTGTTTAAAATGAACTAGTTCCGTTTTTAAGATGGGAAAAATCTGGTACAACTGATTGAATTTGAGTTTTGGTCAATGAAGAGTTAGTTTGAATGTTTAAATAATGAATCCTATGAAGCTTAGAATTTCCACAGCCAAATATATTTTAGTCTAAATTACCAAGTTAATAATTCCCTTTAATTCAGTATAGTATTACCTTAAAACCAGTTTCCTCAGATATTAACCAGTGTAGATTTTCATTTTTGTCATGTGCAATTTTCAGCTAAAATGTAACAGACCAGAGTACAGCACCAGAAAGACCGCAGTTATAAAATCACAAATATAATGTAACAGTGTCTGGTGAGAATAAAAAACATTACATTATTATTAGAGGTGGACGATTCATAGTCTTAGCCAGAGAATTTTTAAACTATAGTTTTTAAAAGAACAAAAATAACAATTGTCAAGAATAAGAACGGTTTAAAAAAAAAAAAACTCTTCAAAAACGGTTGAGAACATAAACTTACTGTACGATCTTCTAAATATGCACATCGAGTTGTTAAGTGCGATGTCACTTCTGGGTCCATCAGATGATTCAGAAAAATTTAAATGTATAAAATAAAGATGAAATTGTAAACAATTTGTGGTTAAATGTACACTTTAGAAAGGTAGCTGTCTCTTGTTTGAATATGGAACAAAAACAAAGCTTGAAATCAGCTGTGAAGTTTCTGGCCAGACCCGGAAGTGACGTCAAATCTCGAGAGTGATATTTCATGGTCATCTCATGTTCCTGTTATGGTTCATTCTTGGCTTCATTCATGTTTAGTGCGATAACTGAACTTTTACAGGGACATTTTAGCAGCACATTCCTGATGAACTGCAAAAATCTGCATCTTACTAATGTTTAATTATCAAGACTTAAAGAGAGAATTTTGTAACTTTTCACACCAAGTACCTATTTGACCTCTTGACTCGAATATCACCAGATCTAACCAGATTTAAAGTTGCACTAGGTAACTTTTTTTGCTGGACTGTCTGCCACTTGCTAGTCACCATGGAGATATTATTGCTTAGCCTGATGTTCCACTCTATGACATTAAACTCTCCACAGATCTGACCTGAATGTTAACTTCAACTTATCTATATTGAATTATCTTGTTGATATAGATGTATAAGCCATACTGAATGCCATATTTATTTCATGCAATGCAATAAAATCTCCAAGGAAAAAAGCAAGAGGCAGTCCCTCCACCAAAAAAGTTCCATAGTCCATTTAAATTAGACTAAGTAGGGTAAAATAGTTCTAAACAAAGGCTAACCCAAAGGAGGAAAAATATGCATAAAATAAAAATTCTAAATAAATTAAATAAAAGAACTAGAGAGAACTCCATGTACTACAGACTGAGAACCACGTATTTAGTCATTATTGCCTTCCCCGTGTGGATATTTAGTGTACATTACTTGATTCTGTTCACTGTTGAGCCTCAGACACAGGTTTCAGGGTTTGGGAGGGTCTCTTTTTGTCAGTGGAGCTTCTTCATGTTGTGGAGATGATCCAAAATGGCGCCCAAAGCCCAACTTGCCTCCACGTTTCTCACTTTCTTGGTCAACTGTGGCCACAAACAGACACCAAATCACTTAAATGCCTTTTGTATTTATTGAAATAAAAATATAACATACTAAAGAATGAAATGTCTTGTATTGGAGATTTATAGATTTAGATATAGGTAGTAGTTTTACCTTACCTGGAATGTTCCACAGTATGGCATTAATGTTTTATGTTGCAGCATATCGCCTATTCCAATTGAACCTCTCATCTCCATGGAGACAGCAGGCGACACAATCAGGCCAAGTTATATGTATGGTCACCATGCTCACAGAAATGTCTTTTTTTTTTTTCTTTTGCAATACAGCAACCATCTAATTGAATGGATAGTTAGTTTAATGCTGTACTGGGGAACATTCAAAGCAACAATATCACCTTGGAGACAAACAGGACCACTCTCCATTGGAAAAGAACATCTTGATTCACTTTTAAATTTGAACATCTATTGTAAAGCTTTAAATGAATAGCAGGTAGTCAGTTTAGTGACCACACCATCCTAACAGAAAAGTTAAAGGTGCACTTAGCTTGCCGACTCTCTTCAGAAAAGTTGCAGTCTCTATGGAGATGTTAATACCTTTGTTTATTGCCATATTATGGACAACTTATAAACTAATATATCTTGCATTTATTGATCTACAGGTGTTATTTGTTACTCAAAAATATCTTAAAAAACATCCATTCTTGCGCCTCTTCACAGACCTGTGAAGTTTGTGGAATATTCTAAGTACATCTCCGTGGAGACAAGCAGGAGACAGACCCTCCACCAGAAAAGTTCACAGTGCAGCTTTAAGTGTGTAGACGTCTCACCTGCAGCGCTGTGGTCTCCTTGAAGCCGAAGCCGTCTTTGAGCAGAGCGGTGATGTAGGTCAGGTCCATACAGAGGAAAGGACCACTTGGAGGGGACGAGCTCATCTTATTACAGACTGCAGACAGAAATGAGGCCATTAAGAAACATTGTTTTCATTTCATTCGTTTATTTCCACATTTGTAAACAGACAATCAGACATTTAAATAATTACTGTGATGTTGTTAATACAACAGTAATATTATAATGTTGTTACCTCATCAAAATCTGCCTGTGTTTTGTTTGATCCAGACATGTTTGCATAACCCTTTATTATGTCTACATCTCCAAAGCTCAAAATACTCACCATGTCATGTAGTGATTTAAATCAGCAGCTACTTTTCATCTTTTGTTCATTAGAGAGCGGCAATTCCAGGGCTAAAATTGTCCAAATGATTCTAGTGAAGTTATATGGAGTATAAAAACATAGTGGAGCATTTCCTGTATAATCACACATCATAAGATGGAACAGTGTTGTGTCTTAAACATGTGTGACTGAAACAAAACAACTCCTATGTGCAAAAGGTACAATGTTTACCTTAATGATCAATAACGTTTGTCTAAGTCTAGGTTAACACCCAGTTAACATGAATCTTTACTCATCTGAGTAACTTTTTAAATAAAATTGTAGATTTTAGTTATACTTTTATCCCTACCATTTCTAGGTATTGAAGTCTATTGTGTGAAGATAGATTTTGGGCATTATTTAATGTTTTGTCCTTCAAATAACTTAAAATTTTAAATCAGATGTTTCGTCCAGTCAGACAGTTACTCTTACTTGAGTAGTTTCCCCAAGAGAGACCAATCTATGCTTGAGTAATCATCTAAACTGCTCAAACAGAGATAAAAATTCAACTTCAACTTCTTTTAACGCATTATATATTCCTTTAGCGGTGAGTTTGAGTTTGCATTCAGCTCAGTGTTGTTCCAGTGGAAGATTGACTGCTGCCTCCTGTTTGAAACACTTCCTGAATCTTAATAGAACTGGACTGAATAAACTCTGCCCTGTGAGCACAGCCCTTGAACACTGCAAAAAACTCTGCTAACATGGGTTAAAATGATCAGACTAAACCAAAACTACCTAGACTAGATCAAGACCAAGCCCAGTCCACATCACGACTAAAATGGGGTAAATGTATCTTTTTATTTTAGGTATTTTATTTATTATTCATTAGTGATGGGACAAGATGCATGAATGAGATTGTGCACACGTGCTGAATATGCTCTTGTGTGATTTTTTCCCCCCATATTTTTACGTTTGGTTTGGATACAAAGTTAAGTACTGGCAAGATACATTTTTGGAGAAGCTGTAGTAACAGAAAGCAGTGCTACAGCAAAAATTGAATAAAATATGATAGATAATGTCAAAATCTCATCTTGTCTCGTTCTTGTAGATCCAATCTCGTGTCTCGTCCTGTGGAAATTGTATCTTGTCCCACACCTATTTATTAATTTATTAGAGCCCATTAAACAACATTTACATTTAAACAATTTAGAATATTTTGGGAAAAATAATTAAATAATTGGTTAAGGGTTCTCGTAAGTTGTTATCGTGACAGGCCTACTTCTCTATCTGAAATTATAACATTATCAATCTATTCCAGTAGTTTGCACAGTCCTACATGTCAACATCTGCAGGAGGGAAAAACATTCAAACTCACTCTCTTTTGCTTTTCTCTTGAAATCTCTGACCTCCAGTCTTCCTCCTTGGTCTCCATCTGTAACAGCATTAGAAAAACAGGTCATTTAAATACCACCTACACGCCTTCATTACAACAGGGCACCCTAATATTAGCATAGCCGACCTTTAAGCCTACTGTGGCAGACGGTTCTGTAAAACACCTATAGCTCATCAAAACCACACATAACAGCCATGAGTCATGGGCAGTGTTGAGTCACAAAAAAACATCCTGCTGGCACAATTATGAAAATGTATACACTGTAAAAATATACTCTGTAAAATGGATTGAATTCAGAATTTTGCTTTGACTTGCTTAAATCATTTCTCAAATCAATTTCTCAAGTCAACTTTTTTTGAGATGCAAACACAGATGCTTAGATGTTTAGACTTGAGCATATAACACTGTATATTAAAGGCACTGTACCCGATTTTTGCTCTTGAAATGTGAAAAACTAGTTAATTTTAAAACTGCAGTGGTCCAAAGTTATTCCCAACTTACCTTATGCATTTTGAGCATCTTAATTAATCACTGAAGACTTTACAAGTCATTTTCACAAGAGGGGAATTATGTCTTCATGCCAATGTGCACTTTGTGATTATCGCACAATAAAGCACTTTATAGTTATATGGAGACAGTACCTTTATCTGCTTACGAGCTGCTTCTACAATATATCTGTATTTTGTACCAGTTTGTATAAGTAAAAGTTGAAACATGAGACTTTCTGGGCCAACTATTGCAAGTATAGAGTCTTATTACATCAATTCATATGTCCAATCAACATTAGGATCCAATATCAGCTGAACCATATCATTGACAGATGCATCCCTAATCTAAATTACTCAAATCTACTCAAAACTTAATTCATATTCTGATTCAAGTCATTTTATCTCAGGTAGACCATTATTTTGTTGTAGAGAAAGGCACTAACCAATGAGTCCTGCATCTACTGCTCTGTCAAAGTAATAGGAGAAGGCGAAGAAGAGGCTGGATTCCTGGAGCTCGTGGGGCTGGTGTATGACCCCCTTCACAACCTTCTGCACCTCCAGGTAACAGGGCTTGTATCCAGACAGGCCTACAGAGACAAAACCATGAAAATGAACAAAAAACTGTTAAAAGTCATCTAAACTAAATAAAATTATTTGTATATTCATAGTTTTTGTTCAGTAGAGATTGGCAACTCCAGGTAATTTGAAGTATTGAGTTTAGTCAGTCTATGTCTAGGCATGTCACAATAATTATCAGTACTATATTCCCTAAACATTCAATTCATGACAGCTGGCGCAATCATTTTTGGAGAGTTAACATTTATTTTTTCTTTGTACTTCTGGGGAACTTAGTTATTTTTCCTGTTCTAGACTAGATTTGAGCTGTAGAGGGGTGATACACAGTAACCAACTACCGTACTAAATTGTTTTATTCTGCCATTTATTTATTGCAGACTGTGTGTCATATCAGGCCTAAGTCTAGGTCTAATATGCAATTTTAGTAAATAAAAAGTAGTTAAGACTATTCAGGTGAAGATGACTATTGATATTTAAGTTAATGAACATTACCTTCTGGATCTCCGCTCACTTGATAGGTCAGACCACCAAAGCTCCACTCATCTTTGAACTTCTTTGGCAAACAGGAACTTTTAAAAACTTGCCACTCCAACCCTAGAAGAACATATCATGAGACTCCTAATGTAAGTAGTTTTGACTAGATTGGATTTATTTATGTATTATTAGGACTTTGTTAGCACTTGCATTTGCTTCACAACTATTTTCCAAAGGTTGGAAAAATGGTCCTATATTCCACAAAATTGACTCTTGTGAGCTTTAAGCCATGTTATAATGTTGAGACCTCTTCAAAAACATACTGGAGTTGTGTTTTGTTTCATTCACCCTTTTATTATTAGTCTGTCTACATCTTCAAAGTCCAAAATGCTCTGTTCCACCTTGTAAGGTCATGAAGCAGTAGTTTCTAGGTTTTCAAGCTCCAACTAGCCAAGCTCATGCCATCTTGTGCCTCCGCTCAATTTAATTTCTCTCCAGCTACAAGGTCAGGAATCGGAATACACTTGACAGTTTGCAAGAACTCCGGGAGTTGTTAACAGTGCACCAGCCAATCAGCGAAGAACTGTGAAGCCGGCAATTACTTGGACACCACTGAGCGTTCCGGCACATTACATACGTCACAACCAAATAGCAGCGATTGGTTAAATAAAAAAAGTACCCGCCTACCGTTGAGCGAACGAATCCTAATGCTGCAAGGTCAACGGTTTCCATGAAGTGAAACTGGCTGATGAATCAGGCTAGCTCCACACAGCTACCTTTTGCCTTTAGTTCAGTAGACAATTCCAGGGCTGAAATCATCCAAACGATTCTAGTGAAGGTGTATGGCGTTTAAAACACAGTGGAGCATCCTGAATATGCAGTGTGTATGTGTTAAACATGTATGAATGAAACAAAACACAAATGCAGGTCTGTTTGTGATGAAGAAACAACATAATAACATAGATCTGAAGATAGTGTAATATATGCCATTTAAAAACCCCATAGAATTGATATTGCTTTTTCCTGTCTAGTCTGAGAGCCACATCACCTCATTCACACTAATGCATTTCTTTATGAACTGGAGAAAACAGTGTGTAACTTCTTGTACCTGTGGTTTTATGTATTAGTTTTTATGGAGCAGACTCAGTACCTTTTGCCCTCAGAGCTCCCAACGCTGCCAGCCTCGCCGCCATCAGCCCGTTTCCAAGGTAACTGCAGGAGGAATAAACAAGACGTCAAGATAAACCTATTATTATTATCATCTGATTTGAAAATGTCACTCTAATATAACGTTACACTGTAAAAAAGGGATTTTCTACAGGTGCTATCAAATAAAGTAGATGAAAGTGTCAGATTTTGCTCACAGTCAGAGCAGCCACAATGGGGTAGGCAGACCAGGGCCCCAAGCTACAAAAGACTTTCTCAACTAACTGAATTGGAAAAGTCACAGTTATAAAAAGCAATAGTTCCTGTTAAATATTAAAAGGTCATATATCACACAAAACTGAATCTGGAGTTGTGTTGTTTCATTCACACATGTCTGAGTAACCTTTTATTATTAGTTTATCTACCTTGCCAAAGCTAAAAATGTTCTACTCCACCTTTGTGATGTCATGAAGCTTATATGTAGCTTAAGTTAACAGCTACATTTTACATTTAGTTCAGTAGAGATGGGCAGTTCCAGGCCTGAAATTATCCAAATGATTTTAGTGCATGGAGTTTAAAACACAGTGGAGCACTTTCTGTATTAGTTCATGACATCACACACATTTTCAGATTGAGAAAAAACACAGCCTAAAAATTAAAAAAATTAAAAATTTACATGTTGATATCGCAATAAAACTCACCTGTGTGTGTATAACTCAAACGATGAATTGAAGATGTGAAATCTGGCAACGTAATCTGCACTTGGGACACTCTCAATGGTTTTCTAGAAGAGAAAGTAGAACGCTATGATCACAACCAATATGGGGTATTTCAGTCTGAACTACAAAAATGAAAACAATTTACCCGGAGTTTTGGCAGAAAAGTGATCTGTGTGGACCCCCCTCCCAGATCTAAGATTCCTACGGTCTTCTGATTTTGTGGAGATGACAAGTGACCTGAAAATATGACATCTTTAATCCAGAGCAGTGAAAATAATGAGGAAACTGCAGCCCCATTTTCATCAGACAGATCGTTTCCGAGACCTTAAACTACCAGTCAAAAGTTTGGAATCTCTCCATTTTATTATTTATTTTTTCTTACAACTTTCAACACTTTAAATGAAATCTACAAAGTCAGAAAAAAAGTTAAATAACTCTACTAAATATTTTTCAACAAGGCAAAGGATAGTTAATTGGAAGATTTAAATATAATATATACATACATTAGTTACTTAATGAGATGGTGTGTCTAAACTTTTGACTGGTAGAGTATTTCAAGTTATACTCCAGGAATAAATAGTTCAAGAGGGCAGATGATGTTTTATCATCACAACATACTGCCACACTGTGCGCTAAAAACTAATAACTAAAAATAACAGAGCAAAGTTGGCACAGTGGGCATAGGGGGTAGGGGAAACTGGAATTTTTGGTGTAATGGCGCCTTGATTGCAGGAGAATATACCTTAAATGACTAAAATAAGCATGAATCACTGAATTCTATCATGGTTTAAAGCTCTTAAAGGTGCAGCAACTTTTTGGTTGAGGGTCCGTCACTTTCTTGTTTCTATGGATATGTCATTGCTCTGCTTGGAATGTTCCACAGAATGGCATTACATAGCTGTACCTTACATTTATTAAATTTCAGGTGGTTTTATAGCTCAAAAATATCTAGAAAAGCAGGCGTTCTGACTGTAAGCGGGGTTGCTTCTCCATAGATCTGACCTGTAACTCGGTCTGGCTTGGTTTCCATGAAGATAGAAAGGTTTAATAATATACCGTGAAATATTCCATACAAAGCAATAACATCTCCATGGAGAAAAAGCATATGAGGGGGAGGCCCTCCACCGGAAAAGTTACACAATGAACCTTTAAATATGAAATTTGCATAATATGTCTCATTTAAAAGCTCAAATAATGAATAATATAGGATCGTTAACTGCCATTACAAAATTATTACTGTCCTGACCTGTTAAGAAGTTCATTGTTATCCACGCCAGGATTCCTACAAAACACAAAGAGATTTCACTTACAGTAATCACAAACTTTACTTTAGACATTACATCAGAATCTTGAGTAAACGCTGATCATTTCAAAACAAGCTAAAAATGCTGACAGACACAATTAAATAGAGATAATAATACTTATTGTAATCCTATCTGTAGCATGTTTTACCACATAATGAGAGCCTGTGGATGTGTCGACAACATTGTGGCGTGGTGTCATCACAGTTTAAAGGTATGTGCATAAAAAAACTGTAATCTGTGATGATAATTATGTATAAAGTAATGTGTCACACTGCATCTTAAAGGGGATGTTACCTTCATTTGTACCATCCATAATGCTGACGCTGTTGTCTGGGACCAAGAAAGGAGACTCGTCAAACACATGTTGAACCTAAGTTACACCAACATGGTTTAAGTGGCTTTAAATGCAAGTTACATTTAATATTTTAAATCCACAAACACATTAAAACAGATTCATACTGTTATCATGTCTAGACTAAATTAGTAACTTTTGAATCTAGTTGATTAGATAAAATGATTGGACTACAATTATATTTAGGAGAAAACATGGGCAAGCTTTGTAAAACTAGTTAACAAAACCAGAATTACAGAGAAAAATAACACCATAATTGAATGTATTTAGTAACATGCTTTTGTATTTTCAGTTACCTTAGAAGAAATTAGATCTTCTTTGGAATTTCAGACATTAAATGACCTGTTTTTTATATCATATAATTCATATATGTTCATATTTAAACACTGAATTTAATACACTGAGTTTAATAAAGTTTTTGTAATAATATTAAAGTAGTCAATATGCAGATTTTGTATGCATTTAAAAAAAAAAAAAAAGTGGGAAGTTGGTTAGTGTTTCAGCACAAGTACACAACAGCAGTCAATAAGAAATATGAAAGATAAACAATTATAGACCAAAAGAAAATAGACCTTGAATGTAACTTTCTAAAACTATATATTTGAATACTATTAAGATACTAAATGGGAGTAGAATAACAAATAAAACTATAAGGCTACAAGCTATGATGTAAAGTAGTAGCTCTAAAACTTTTCACCAAGTACCACCAAAGAAAAAGATTTGGCTTTCTAAGTACCACCAGATCTAAGCCAGGTCTAAGACAGGACTATTCCAAGTCTAATCTTGGGCTAAACCAAGTCTAAAAGTGGAGTGGACTGTATTTCAAAACAATATATTTTTATCAAAGAATTTGTGGAGTTTAAAAGGTATGCAACTGCTGGTGGAGGGTCCATCAAATGCTTTTCTCCATGGAGGCGTTATTGCTCCGTCTGAAATGTTTCACAGTGTGGCATTAAATCTTTCGACCATCATGGAGACCAAACCAGACCAAGTTATAGGTCAGATCTATGGAAATGCAACCCGTGCTCACAGTTAGAATGTCTATTTTTTTCTAGGTATTTTTGAGCTATAAAAGCACCTGTAATTGAATAAAACTAAAGTAGGCATATCCATAGTAATAAGAAGGTGAACCTGCAGTCTAGTCCATGTTCTTTTTAGACTATGGGGGGAGAGATCACTGTAGTCTCTTCTAATAATGGGAAACAATATGTACAGTACAGTATATGGACATAACGGTTTATCAGCTCCTGCCCCATCTGATAGAGGGACATGGGCACTTTCTAGTCTGCAAACAACTGTAATGGGAGCTAATTTGTGGATGCCCTCAGTAGATTGGCGTAATTAATTGCCTCTGGGAGTATATTTATTAGTTATTGTCAAAATACCCTAAAGCGTCACATTACACTCTTCACTCAGCCTCTTTTATATAATATCAGAACTCTTTGTAGCTGTATTACGGATGTATCTCTGGTTTATCCTCTCTCTGCTTATCTGCACTTCCCTTAAGAGTGGAAGCCAATGTGATACTAGCAATGATAAAAAACTGTGTAAATGAATGATGTTTTAAACATGGCTTTGCTTGGCAGCAGCAGAAAGCATTTACCAGTTAACTAACAAAGAAGTTGGCGTATATGGACATAGCTAACCCGCTAGCAGTCATGTTCCAAATTAGAAGGGAGCATGGGGCGCTTACGGCTCCATCGATGCCAGTTCCAATTCACTTTATATTGTAAAACCCATTGTCCCTCTCACTGTAACAGCTGGAGTAAGGTGCATCATTTTTGTCTTAAAATGTTCATAATAACTCACTGTACCATGATCCTGGGTTTTTTTATGTTGCTATATTGTTCATAAATCAAGATATGAACATTAATAACAGACAAATCTGGTTACCTCTTTCCCAGAGGTTGCTACTGCTAGCATTAGCAACAGGTCTGACTGACCACACTGCTAAGTGCCCTTTCCCTGCCAAAACAGCGGTGCAGTGCAGGATCAATGGGGCGTTACCTTCAACCACCTGGCTCCCGACTGACTGTTTAGTTGCTGTAATACATGGTCAGAATTCCAAATATGTTAGCTTCAATGAGCTTCATATGACTGGAGCTGAATGCTGTGGGTCAGTATGATCTTAACGCAAACTTGTTAGTCTTACATCCAAGACAAAACACTTCATAACTGATCAGTGCATTATTTTCAATAGGATGTAGTATTTTTTATAAACCCTTCAAAAGCTGCTAAATTGTAAGAACCCTACTTGAAGTGTTGTGTTGAGTGTCATTAAGTTTACCTGTTCTAAAAGAACGTGTGCTTTCTGTTGTGGCAGAAGTCTCAGTCCCGCTGTGGCTCTGAGCACCACTGGAGTTCTCTTCCACTCCACACGGGGCACTGTTCGTTTGGCCACTTTCAGCAGCATCCTCACTGTGTGTCCAGCCTGTGTAGACCATTTACAACATAGAAGTGGCAAAAATTACACAAATTTGGAATACTGATCTCAAATTGAGTAAATGTGACTAGGACTAATATTACCGCTTAATATAACTTTGCAAATTTGGCTAGTTTCAAGTTCACTCACCATTTCAGGAGAGTCGACATAGGCAGACAAACCAGGCTTTATAGACTGAAACATCTCATTGTCCAAAATAGGCATCTTATCTAAAAAAAAAAACAACAAAACTCTTGAATATCAATGAAATTGTGTATTAATCTTTCCACAGAGGAAATTACACAATAACTCATATATTACAACAGACTAACAAACATCAAAATGTAATACAATTTATAAATAATTCATATTATTAATGGAAAATCACTTTTTTAGCCAAAAAAATAAATAAATAAAAGCATGTTGTTTTTTCCCCATTTTGTCTTTGGTCATTGCACTGAAAAAAAAAAAAAAAGAAAAACTACTACATCCTTACTCTGAGCAAGCTTGCATCTCCATAAACCTGACTCTGACTTGGCCTTGAGGAGGGCCTATGCCTGCTTGTTTTCATGGAAATGTTATTCTTTTTGCTATAATCATAAAATGGAATAAAACATATCTATCTGAAAGGAGAATGTCCTAAAGCATGCATTGAAATTCTCCATTTCCTCCACAAAGTTACATATTGTAGCAAACGTTTGTGACAAACATATATTTTACCTGTGTCACTCTGTATAAAGGTGTAAACATGTATTCTCGTCCCTGTGCTCCCTGCGTCAAACATCACGGCGTAGCTGATGCGGCTGTGGTTGGCCGGTCTGCTGAGGCTGGGCAGGAGGCTGCTGATGCCGTGGGTTAGATCCAGGAGAGAGGACCCAGCCTGAGCTCCACTGTGCCCAGGGAGAGAGCAGAGGAGCAGGGGCAGGAGCACCACCGTGACTGCCTCCATCTTCACACCTCTGGAAGAGCAAGAGGCAGAACAACAACTGTCATTACACTAAGTACAGGTGTGATCACGTGATGTTGTAATGATGTAAACAGCCGACAATGCAAAAACGAGTATGTAGAAAGGCTAAGATATGACAAAAATGAATTATAATGAGTTTTTTTCATATTTTGTCATATTTATCAATTCTTTTACCTTTTGTCTAATTAAAAACTAATAAAAATGGCTTTCAGTGTTGATTTCTTGAACATAAACATTACAGACTTTTAATCTAGGACATTTAACAACAAAATTTTACAAAAAAATACTCAAATTTCTTCCTCCAAAGTCTGAACTCTGCTCTAAAGCTCTTAATGACAGATGGCTGGCTCTAGACCTGTCAATTAAAAACACCCAAGTTGCTCATTATCTTTTAAAGGTGACTGAATCTTGATCTTGATTAAAATTCAATTAATTGCCCTGGCTCAAGTAGGGGCAGTAATTGATGAGGAAACATTATCACACAGACCAGAAAATAGCATATGTTGGCTGACCAGATGTCCTTATTTACCTGTGTCAGTCCCAGTTGTGAGCCCTGATTTATTCAAAACCAGTGATTTGTCCCAGTTTTATACAAGAAATGTCCCGTGTCTGATAATTGCCAACAGTAAAATGAAGCATAAATTGTCATTTATTTAGGTAAAGCTACATAAAAATGACCAAAAGACAAAGAAAATGTGACTATACTGACACAAGTTAGTCATGATTGGGTAGAATAATTTTCCTTAACTACGCACTCGCTTCATAATTTTATTATTACCAACCACCCCAAATCGAGTGTGTTTTTTTATTTTGAAATTCTGGTCCCTAGAATAATATGGGGCATTTAAACATTATTTTTATAATAGACCAGATTTTCAAAATGATATAAAAAACTGTAAAATCCTTGGTTTGGGTTGGTTGGTAATAATAAAATTGTGAAACGAATGCGTAATTAAGGAAAATTAAGGAAATTTTGTACATTTTAAGCAGCTTTTCTGTATTTTACCTAAACAAATGACAATTTATGCCTCTCTTTACTGTTGGCAGGTGTCAAACTCGTCAAAAATAGGGACACCTGGGACATTTCCTGTGTAAAATTGGGACAAATCACAGGTTGTGGATAAATCTGCTGGGACAGAGGACACAGGGCTCAAATTGAGACTGTCCCGGGTAAATAGGGACGTCTGGTCACGTTAGAATAGCCAAATAGTTCTTACATACCAAAATACAGCACGTATGACAAATAATCTAATATTAACAAAGGAATATTAAGGTTCAGAGAAAACCCTGGAATGAAAAGTAGAGTAAGTTACCAACAATAAAGAAATCGGTGATCTCTACTTACTTGGCCTCACCCGCTAACGCTAGCTGCTGCTGAATGCTAGCGTTAACTTACATTTTACCGCACCTAATTGCTTGAACATGACTAAAGCACAACTGGCCCGTGTCAAATGTAATATAGACACGTGTACGGGGAAGTTTAGAGTTTTAAAAAATTGACTTGAAGACGGAGTGGACTCATAGATCCGTGATTGGACTGAGAATGTTGTTAATGAGCGCGTCACCGGTGCCGCAGCTGTAGCGTAATTACGTCAGTGCTGTTGATTTTTTATTTATTTATTTTTTTCCCAGATTTATTTTTTTTATAAACAAAAATAGCACTTTACAAAGGTACACTGTTCACATGAAAACAAAAATAATTGCATAGAAAAAAAAACATTCAAAAAAGACATGAGTGAGCTAGCAAAAAGTTTCAGGTCATTCTTCAAGTAAATCTTAAAAAATATATATATACTTAAAAAGTAAACATTTGTAAATAAAATGTTTACCTAAAAATTTATAAATTGTTGATTCGTTTATCGTTTATTACGTGATTACGTCAGTGTTGTTGATAGACGCCATGTTTCCGGGTTTCCGTGCGTGTGCGGTGTTCGCCCGGAGCTAAAGCTAAAAACAACGGTTTCTGAAAATGTTTAAAGGCCAAACGCTAAAGGAGGAGTATGAGGAGAAACCGTGTCTCCCGGTGAGTCCCGACGCCGGTCTGATCCATAGTGTGAAGCAGGAAATCATAGAAACTCCGCAGATTAAAGAGGAACCAGAGGAGCAGAGCATCAAACCAGAGGACGAACAGCAGCCCGTCTCACAGGAAAGCGTCTGTGTGAAGGCAGAAGAGCCCCCACTGCTTCAACCTAGAAAGACAGAGACACAGGGGGAGGACACCAGCACAGAGACACATTTACAAGTAAAGACTGAAGGAGACACGGGGCAATCCTCTGATACTGACAATGATGACAACTGGAAAGCGCCATTCAGCTGTTCAGATGCACAGATAGAGACAGAGGCTAATGGAAACCAGAAAAAACAAGTCCAGATCAGAGACACAAATAGTGCACAAACTTCAAGTCAGTCTCCTAAAAATAAATCTGACCCACAGACACAGACTAGTGAATCAGATGAGGAGGCGTCCGAAAGTGAAGGAGACTCGTCAGAAAATGATGATGATGATGATGATGATGTTCCTGATTGGGTACATCAGTGCCCGTTTTGTAAGAAGAGGTTTATGAGAAGATATCACTATGACAACCACATTAGAACTCACACAGGAGAGAAACCTTTCACCTGTTCAATATGCAGTAAGTCATTTGCAGCAGACTCAACGCTCAAAGGACACATGGCAGTACACAATGAACCTAAAAACAGCTGTCCAGTTTGCAAGAAAAGCTTTGTCCAAAAGAGTTATCTCAAAATTCATATGAGAATTCACAGCGGAGAGAGACCTTACAGCTGTTCATTCTGTGAGAAATCATTTACCTCACCGAGTAATTACAGCGCGCATATGAGAGCACATAATGAAGACAGAAGATACAGCTGTGAGTTCTGTGGTCGAGCTTTTGTCCGCAGTAGTAATCTCAAACAGCACATGTTACTGCACACTGGAGAAAAACCGTTCAGCTGTTCAGTTTGTGACGAAAAATTTATCAAAAAACGTAGTCTACTTGCACATATGGAAGACAAACATGATAAAGACAAATGAAAAGTCAGTGTGCAGCCTCTATAACTTTGGGTTGTCAAAAGTATCGAAATTCAAATATAGTAGATACTAATTTGAACAGGAATCAATACTAAAAAAGTCACATTCAAAGGACAGAAATGAACCTTTCCTGAATAGCTTTAGAGCGATCTTGAGCTGTATCAGAACAAGTATAAGAGCATGTAGCCTAGTATACGCCCCATGGACTACTATGGAACCTACCTGCAGCACTGAGAGATTACACAGACATAAGACCACCTGGTAAAGTATTATGATTTAATGTTGAAAATCACATTCCAAATAAAGGGTGTTTTTTCCTTCATTGTGGTATCAGAATTAGTATTGAGTCTGTTCTTTGGTATCAAATCGAGTTTGAAATGTTAGTATTGTGACAACGCTACAGTGCACATGCGATATGAAATTAAGGTTTAGTGAATAACATTGGCACATGGACTATTTGTGGAGCGTGGAGTATTTTGTTCACATGTTTTAATTGTATATCGTTACAGATCCACAATAAGTGTGTCATTAAATTTAATATACATCAAGATATCAAGATTCAGTCATCTGTCAATGATTAGCTTTTTTTTTTTTTTTTTGTAATTTAGAGGTCCAGATTTTTTAACTATTTGTGTGTTAAGTGGGACAGATTAAATGTGCATTGTGTAACTTTTTTGGTGCAAGGTTTGTCACCTGCTTTTCTCCATGGAGATGTCATTGTTTTGTCTGAAATGTGTATGACATGAAACATTATTATTTTAAAAATATATATTATAATACATTGCACTGGTACAAATGTGTATGTAACAGAAACATGAACAATATACAGTAGTTTAATAAGTCTTATCAAGGATAACATGAAAGGAGCATGTAAGTTGTATAAACTCAACATGAATCAAAATAATTCTGAGCTGAGCTTTACTGTTTACCAAAATATTACTCAAGTACAAAGTAGTAGTCCAAGAAATCACTAACGTAAGATACTCAAGGTGGGAAGAGAAACCAACACTTTTCCTCAGAAAGAATACCATTACACTATATAATATATTACACACGTAGAGGTGTGACACCACAAGGCCAAGTTACAGGTCAAATCTGTGGAGGGCGACAATGCTGACAACGCATGTTTTTATTGTATTTTTGAGCAATAAAAACACCTGTAATTTACTTTATGTAAGATAGATACATTTTATGGCATACTGTGGAACATTCCAGGCAAACATCTCCATGGAGACAATTAGGTGGCAGACCCTCTAGCTGAAAAGTTGCATAGTGCACCTTTAAACTAGCAATCTAGGCTCTATTTATGAACACAGCTAAACAAGTGAAAGTTTCTGGCTTAAGTCATAGAATTTTATTTTTGCAGTGTACAAGAGTTTACAAGAGATACATTGTGGTGTTTTTATTTTTACATTGAGTAAGAGATGCTCATGACTTGACAAATGAACAAACTAGAAAACACATCTCTACAGGCAGGTGGAAGACATGGTTTAAAATGCAATAGTTCTGTCACATTTTAGTTTACAATAAACCATAATACAATCTGTTCACCTTGTCAGCTAAGAAAATACAGAAAAAACTACTGGTAGGACATTTCACAGCAAAAAGACACATTCAATAAGCCCTTACCGCTCCAAAATATGATCCAAAATTACTTGAATTCGTAATATTAATCTTGATTTGAGTGGTTTAAATTTTACAGCAGTTTTTGGAAATGGCTTGAAGAATTATAGTAATAAAAATGTCCAAATAAAACTTAAGTAACTAACCTAGTCCAAACTACTCAAATAAGATTAACATTATGAATTCAAATTATTTCAGATAATTTAGAAATACTTTTTTTGCAGTGTGTTGTACAAAAACCATGTCCTAATCTCATCCTTAACTCTACAACAGTGTCTAATTTCCTACAATAGAGAAGAAACTATATTTTTTCATGAATCAAGCCACCAATAATGTAACTGGAGTATAGGTGGTTCGATCCCTGCTGCCAGTATTGCATATACTGTCCTTGTGCCATTCAGCAAGACGTGGGCCTTTTTATCATTACTTTTAGTCTATTTTTATGCATTTATTAAAAAATGAGAGACCAACTTTGTAATAATAAGCCATAATTTCATAATGTAATTTGATCAAAACCTTAATTAGGGACTCACTTGGCCTTTTTATAAGCTGATTGTGCATCTTGAAAAGAGATTACCACTGACAATTTGCTTAACTCCACTAGAATCTGATTTGAATAACAATATGTCTAATTATTATTAAAATATTTGACATTTGAATTAAGTGCTAAAAGTAAAATTTTTGTGCTTCGGGCAAAAATAACTTTATTGTCCATTGTAGCATTATTGGTCGCTTTAAGGCGTTTATAAAGATATGCACAAGTCCATTTAACGGCCCATTGTTGGCATGGTAACGGCGGGGCTGGTTACTGTGGCGTCCTCGGCTTTCCACTGCGACGTCACGGTTTTGATCTGAGTGTAAAACTGGATGCCCTGAAAACAAGAGAGAAAAAAATGAATAAATATAGCTATGGATGACAAATGGTTAGTTTCCATACTGATTAAAAAGTTTAAAACCAAATATTACATGCTTATATTCTCCAATACAAAAATATATCGCATTACAGTGTCAGAATACTTTTAATGAACGCCAAGATTAGTGTAAAACTAGATGCCCTGAAAACAAGACAAAATGAATAAATATAGCTGAAACGTCTCACCAGTGAATCTGAGAAACTTTCCACTGTCTGTAAATGTCTTAAATTTCTGCGTTTTAAATGAACAAAGTTACAAGATTCTGTCCACCTCAGTTGCACATTTGTTGATGTCATGGCGATGGCTGCAAAGCAGTGATATAGAACAGTGTTCGCAGGAGTGTGTTATGCAGTATTAACACTCAGCAGTTAGCCACTGGAATTCTCACTTACCATGGTATAATACTTTGTAATGAACACGAAGATTAGTAGTCCTAAAATCTCCACTGGTTTAACATTAGGTCAACTGAAAAATTGTGAAAAAGTATTGTGGGTAGATATGGGAGGTTTAAAAACTAGAATTCTCTTCAGAGTGCGCATTTATTTTGTTAAATGAAAGCTTAAAGTGCCAGAAAATTGGGTTCTTTGCCCTTAAAATATGACTGCATTTTAAAACTCAGATTTATTTCCTGCATTCTTCATCTTTTACTTTTCCACTTTTCTTTACAAACTGCCACTTAACTGGTGTAAAACTATGATTAATATTTACCAACAAAGTCATAATTATAAAACCATATCACCCTAAAGTGTTTTATGCTGTACCTGTTTTCCATAGAAGTTTGTGTCTCCCCTGAATGAGCCTCTGGAGCCGGTGAAAGAAAACATGGGCAGAGGTACTGGGATGGGAACGTTCACACCAATCTGGAAAATAATTTAACACAATTTTAACAACTATTCCCAACTCAATAACATAATGCATTAGGTAAAGGTCATATATCACACAAAATTGACTCTTGTGAGTTTTACAATGTTGTTACCTCATCAAAAGCATACCTGAAGTTGTGTTTTGTTTCATTCATGTTTGAGTAACTCTTTATTTTTAGTCCGTCTACGTCTCTGAAGCTCAAAAACAGCTACTTTTTACATTTACTTCAGTAGAGATTTGGGCTGAAATTAACCAAATAATTCTAGTGAAGGTATATGGAGTTTAAAAACACAGTTCCTGTATTACGATATGACATCACAAGGTGGAACAGAATGCAGCCTAAATATGCAGGGTTTGTGCGAATGAAACAAAATAAATCCAGGTATGTTTCTGATGAGGAAACAACATTATAAGATAGATCAGAAATTGTGTTATATGGGCACTTTAAAGTTCGAGAGTTTTTTTTTTCTTTTTCATTAAGTCTCTAGTATATATTTGTAAAAGTAAGACATATTTGTATATATTTGTATATTTTATTTTTACTTGTACGTATAGTTATGCCTTACTTCAGTCTTTTGCTATTTTTGCTACTTCAGAATTTATTATTGCCATTTATATATTTTTGCTCTTTGTGATTGTAAGCTATTATAATATATTGTGATGTGTGAGCTATTGTGACCAAATAATTTCCCTTGTGGATGTGGAAGTTTGTCTAAGTAAAAAAAAATACATGGACATCATTAGATTTGATATTTCACACACAGGTTGAGTCGGAGCAGGCTGACTCATTTTTCTGTTTAAAATGCACGGACCACATGCAGAGAGGTTATAATGTACTGCCAGCTCTGTGCCCTTACCTGGCCCACATCCACGTCGTGAGTGAATTTGCGTGCCGTGGCTCCGTTGGTGGTAAAGATGGCCGTTCCGTTGCCATAGGGATTGCTGTTGATTAAAGAAATGGCGTCGTCCAAAGTCTCGGCCTCCAACACGATGAGAACTGGACCGAAGATCTCCTCTTTGTAGCAGGTCATGTCAGGCTGGGGAGAGAGAAGGAGAAAGCAAAGAGTTATCTCAAGTAAGGTACATCATTTTATCATTTTAATGATGCGCTATGTAACTTTTCTTGTAGAGGGCCTGCCACTAGCTTGTCTTCATGGAGAGGTTATTGCTTTCCTGGAATGTATTCAATAAACTTAGGGCCACAACAACACAAGCATAATTTTAGTACTCGATTATTCAGCTATTATTACTTCTACTGGACATTGAGACTTTTTAATACCAATTACTAAAAATTACTGATTTTTTTTTTAAATAGTTGACTAGTCACAAAAGCCAACTTAAACCACCAGACCTAGTTACAGGTTAGATCTGTGGAAAAGCAAACCTGATCACAATAAAGTAAGTAAAGTAAAATGTTATACTGCTCTTTTGATTCATTCACACAGGTTTGAGTAACCATTTATTACTACCTTTTGTTAAGCAGAAATGGGCAATTTCAGGGCTGAAATTAAGGCTGATTCTAGTGAAGGTTTATGGAGTTTAAAAACACAGTGGAGCACTTCCTGTATTACCACATGCCACAACCATTTTCTGTTCTGAGAGAAGAACTCAGCCTGAATATGCAAAGATTGTGTTAAACATGTGTAATTAAAACAAAACACAACTCCAGGAATGTTTTTGATGAGAAAACCACATTATAACAAAGATCAGAAAAAAACGTAAAATAAACCCTTTAATTAAACTGTTATAAACCTGTACAAGTGATAATTAAACTATAGACTGCTAATAATTTCTTTTGCTCACAGTGTCAGGGCTTGAAAATGAAATGAAAATTTTTCTTTGCACAATAATCAGAACAGAACAATGTGAAATCCCAATTGCACAATCAGCCCACCAGTTTAACATTCATAGAGACATCCAGCAGTTACACTTTGAATACTTAACAGACAAAGGTCAAATGTCGTCCGGCACATTTACTCAGATGTGCACGTATATTATCTAATGACCTGAAGAGCCGGTTCAGACAGACAGGGAGTGAGTGTGAGAGTGCGCATTATTAAACTACTCTTCAGATTTAATGAGACGGGGCGTTCAAGGTGTGATCAGGAAAATGATCTACTACGACAATGCGATTCAGAGGTTAAGCAACTGTAGCCATTTTAACACATCTTTGTATAGTGATATTACAATCAAATTAAATCAAAATCATGATTTTAATTGGCAAACTGTATTGATACTTTGCTGTGAAATCATGCTGGGGTGTTATGTAATGTAATGTAATGTTATGTTATGCATGTCTGAAGTGTTAAGAAGTTTCCATGGTGACACAATGCACGCATTTGAAACCACAGCCAAAAACTCAAGAACAGCTTCAGACAGAGCAGAGCCTAGAGTTAGCAATACACCAGCAGGGAATGTTCATAGAGAGAAAGTATCAATGGAGCAGTAATTTTTTTAAGAACTCTAATATCTATGGGGTCTTAATCTAAAATCTATCAAACTACAATAACAATAACTACAAACATGTTCTGAAAAAAACATGTAAACTTGAAAACTACACTACATGACATCACAAGGTAGAAGAGAGCATTTTGAGCTTTGGAGATCTAAACAGACTAATAATAATAATCCAGGATTACTCAAACATGTGTGAATAAAATGAAACATAATTCCGGGTATGTTTCATGAGGTAACAGTAGAGATGTAACAATAATTGAAATATCATGATATCGTAACGTCAAAATTCTCACAATAATATCGTGGACCATCACAATATATAGAATTACAAGTCTTTTTGCATAAATTACGAGTTATGGTGCAGGATTATCTTAAAAAAAAAGGCAGAGTGAACTACATAGACCATGACTCTTTGCTCCATTTCAGCGTAGACTACATGAAGAAATAACAGTTCTAAGCACTTTTAAGTCTTAGTTCTACAGATTAAGTTTTGTCAAGGCATTTTAAGAGGAAATAATATTATATTCACAGTTTTGTTAGCCTCCACAAAATATCACAGTAAATATCCTACAGAGAGATTTGGATATTGTTATATTCCTAATCATGAGCTTCCCCATGATATCGCAATAAATATCGTACCGTGAGGTTCATACAGTGACGATATCGTATCGTGTGACATGGATATCTTTACACCCCTAGGTAACAGCATTATAACATGGTTAAAAGTGCACAAGAATCCATTTTGTGTAATATAGAACCTTTAATGTGAATGGCTGGAACTGAAACTCACTTTATTCAGACTATTATGATGATTTTAATTAACACTGAAACAACACAAGAAGCAGCACAGAGGCAGAGTCGGCAACACCAGTGAAAGCTTTGTGCACAAAAAACATTGGCATCATAATAAGGTCAGTTTTTTAATTACTGTTATTGTAGAGCAAAGTTTTTAGATTATCAGTGTTTCCCATAAACAGAATAGACAAAAATTCTCTCCCAAAGTCTAAAAAGACTAGGCATAACAAAATCTTACTTTGCTGCTTCATACAAAACATAAAAGGAACTACATTTTTGTGTTTTTCAATCTCCACAAATTATTAATATAGAAAGCATTTTTGCCCCCAGAGTCATAACAAAATCTATGAGAAACAATGGATGAACACTCTCCCACACACAGTTTGAACCATTTTAAACAAATCTGGTCATTTCTCTGTGATTTGTTGTTTTAATGAGTTCTCACATTGGCTTCTGGCATATTAATAAATAGTAAAAGAACCAGTCTTTTGAACAGCTCTTTGAAATGAATAGATCCAAAAAATTAGGATCACAACAGGAGCCGGAAATCTCATCAGTATTATTAAAAACTCTCCGCACTTAAACTTTAACTTTCATTATTTTCTATTTTAGTTTCGCCTTGGGAGTTTAACTTTTCATGGTGAACTTGGAAATTACATCAAATGGCAAGAGTACAAAGGCTGACTCACAAAAAAGTTATTTCAATCTTTAATCAAAAATTCTCCCACATAAAATCTTGCCAAAATAAAAATGAAATTGGAAAAAAATATTAGCAGTCCCCCCCAAACTCACTAGAAACTCAGGCTCCATTCAAATCATGTCCTTTTGATTTGGGGCCAGAACACAGTGGATTTGACAATGTTCCAAATAATTCTCCTCTATAATAATAAAACTGAAGCATAAATTAAACAAAAAAAAACAGTATTTTGCCACTTTCTTTTGTTGCCTTTGCTTCTCAACCAATCATCTCTCACACATAAAATTACAGTCACAAGCTAGCTAGAATAAGCCAACAGTTTTTCAGTTAGTTACTCTCACCTTTTTGTTGAAAATCAAAGTCCTAAACGGGGCCATGAACTCTCGTATTCCTCACAGGCTCCTGAAAATGTGTTGTCTTGAGTTTTCAGACTATCCTAAAAGGTGCACTATGTAACTTTTTGTCTGGTTTCTATGGATATGTCATTGCTCTGCCTGGAATGTTCCACAATATGACATTAAACAGCTCTACCTCACATTTATTCAATCACAGGTGGTTTTATACTTAGAAAAACAGACATTCTTACAGTGAGGAAGGTCACCTCTTCATGGATCTGACCTGTAACTTGGTCTGGTCTGGGCTCAGTGAAGATAAAAAGGTTTAATACCATACTGTGAAACATCCCAGACAAAGCAATAATGTCTCCATAGCGAAAAGCATTTGACACACCCTCCACCAGAAAAGTTATACAATGCGTCTTTAAATCTTTTTTTGACGTGTACATTGTGCCACCATGGTAACTGCTGAACATTCCACCATAGAGATGCATGGTGAAACGCTGTCATTGTTGATATCTCACCTTGACTTTGTGGATGATGGTGGGTCCCACAAAGTTCCCGTTTTCGTAACCCTTGACTTGGACCTTCCTGCCATCGAGCAGGACCTGGGCGCCCTCTTCCACACCGCTCTGGATCAGTGACTCCACTCTGGCTTTGGCCTCAGGAGAGATCAGGGGCCCCACATCTGCGCCGGGCTGGTCTCCTGCAGAGAAACAGGCAAAAACACACACACAATGGGAATTAAAAGGAAAACAGAACTGGTTTATGTTAAAGCGTCCATATCACACTATTTTCTGATCTATGTTATAATGTTGTTTCCTCATTACAAACAGACATGGAGTTGTGTTTTGTTTCATTCACAACTGTTCAACATACACACTTGGCATACTGAGTTCATTTCAAACAGAAAACCACGTTCCGCCTTGTGATCTCATGTGGTAATACAGGAAGTGCTCCACTGTGTTTTTAAAATCCATACACAGTCACTAGAATCATCTGGATGATTTCGGCCCTGGAATTGCCTCCCTTTACTGAACAATAAGTAAAATGTTGCTATAAATTACCACTTCATGACATCACAAGGTGGAACAGAGCATTCTGAACTTTGGAGATGTAGACAGACTAATAATGAAGTGTTACTCTACATTAAAGTCACAAGACAATGAAATGGTTTATAATTAGATGCAGACAGCGTACGGGTATCTTAGATCTTATTTTGAAACTGTACTGAAAAATAAAAGGATTTTTTCTTATAGTTTGAAACTCGCTGAAATGGCTGAGGGGTTTATTTTGATCATGTTCACAGTTTGAGTAAACAAAAGTATACAGATAAAAACAGAAGAAAGATTAAGAAATTGATTCTGTCGTTTCTGTTTACAAAAATCAGCACAATTCTTTATCAAAATCCCTACATTTGACACTTTAATAACACTTTTTACTTTTAAAAGCACAGTTGCACTGCTCTGAGTTGTTTAATCCGCTTATACCATGGTCCAATACACTGAAAATGGTTCACTTTTTAAATCTGACCTTTTGGCTGTCCATGGATGTTTAAGGCATTAGTTATTTCTATTTTAGTTGAAGCTAGTCCGTCCTAACAGTAGTTAATTTGTTGACCCATTGCTATGGTGATACAGAACAGTGATTAACTGTTGCTGGAGCTACCTGTGGGGTTATACAGAAATAAAGCACAGCACTTACATTATGCTGCGTTTCAGTCGCCCCTGCATGTCAGAACTCGAGAAAAAATATGGTCAGAATATTACATTAAATATTCAATAAAGTAATACTAGGAAAGTGTTAAAATTATGTAAAATGAGGAGCCAGTTCATTTTGTGACCCGGACATTGTTACTACATTAACAGTTAATAAAGCAACATTTGAGAATTAATTTCAGATTTAGTTGACTTGAGCGCCGTGTACATATTAGCATCATTAGCAAAACAGAGCATAACAGAGCATCAATAACTGTAGAGGCTCAACCACTGTGCAGAAGCAGGTTCACAGAAGTGGGTGAACGGGCAACTAAAAGGCAAAATAACACAAGGACGCCATCATATTGGATTTTCTAACACACTGCAGAAATCAGACCTAGATATGCGTTCATCCTAGACTTTGCATGTAAACTCTGAATGCAGCTTTAAAAAACTTCTTTCACCAATGATTTCCAAGAGCATTACAGATTATTAGGATGTCAGTATCATTTTGCCTGATTAATGTACAACCAAAACCAAAGAACATGATCCCACACAAACTCCTGACTTCTCTGTACCTGCGTTCACTCTGAGGGACTTGGAGCGCTCCACCAACTCCGGCAGCCATTCACGAGACTCGCCCACAAAGATGGCAGTGGAGAGGGCCATGCACCTCTGCCCGGCCGCTCCGAACGCTGCCCCCACCAGCTGGTTCAGGGTATTCTCCTTGTTGGCATCAGGCATCACCACACCATGGTTCTTTGCTCCCTAAAAATACAAGAGAAGTGAGAAGGAAGTATTACTGAATGATTTGGGAAAAAAGACCTAACTGCAATTTTTCTGACAAGCTTCGCAACTGTGATAAGCAACTGTGATAAGCAACTGTGATTCTGGCTTTAAAGGTCCTATATTATGCAAAATTGACTGAGCTTTAAGCCATGCTAGAATGTTATTACCTCCTTAAAAACATACCTAGAGTTGAGTTTTGTTTCATTCACACGTTTGAGTAATCCTTTATTATTAGTCTGTTCCACCTTGTGATGTCATGAAGCAGTAGTTGCCAAATTAACAGCTACCTTTTACCTTTCGTTCAGTAGAGATTGGTAATTCCAGGGCTGAAATTATCCAAATGATTCTAGTGAAGGTGTCTGGAGTTTAAAAATACAGTGGAGAACTTCCTCTATTACCACATGACATCACAAGTTTGAACAGAGTGTTTTCTGTTTAAGAGAAAAACTCCTAATATGCCTTAATATGCAGGGTTTGTGTGTTAAACATGTGTGAGTGAAACAAAACAGTTTTTATGCAGAATAAAAGACAGAATATTGTTTGTGGAGAAAATTATGGTAATTCAAAAATTGCAGCCTTTGTGATTTGATAACTGTGTCCATTCAATTGTGTTTAATCTTGCAAATCTAGTAGGAACTAAATACAGTCTTAAAACACACACACTAAAAAATTATGAATTAACTTGTTAGGCCTATTTTATGCATTTTCATTTAAACAATATGAGATTATTTTAGTCATGCATGAATTTGTATTTCATCTTTTTTCTTCCACCACTGGTAGATGGTAAAAGATAACAGATATAGGAATTTCCTTAAGAATTATCATCTTGCTTTGACTCCAGGCAAATACAGCTGTACATTTTTCAATTTTGGGGGAATTTTGTAGGTGCACTATGTAAGTTTTTGGTTAGGGGTTCGTCACCTGCTTGTTTCTATGGATACGTCATTGTTCTGTCTGGAATATCCCACAGTATGGCATTTGACAGCTTTACCTTATTAAATTACAGATAATTTGACAGTGAGCGGGATTGCCTCTCTACAGATCTGACCTGTAACTTGGTCTGTTTTAAACTCCATCTAGACAGAAAGGCTTAATACCATACTGTGAAACATTCCAGCTAAAGCATGGAGAAAAGCATTTAATGGACCCTCCACCAGAAAAGATACACAATGCACTTCAGTCCCGTATTTTCCCTTGAATAGCCCTGATGCAGTACCTACCATATTAGACTGCACTCTCTTGCCATTCTTGGAGCCTCTCTCGTAGATGTATTCTCCGGCCTGGTTTGACCCCACGAAGCTGATGGCCTTGATTGCCGGGTGGTCACAGATGAAATTCACAGCTACAGAGACGAAATAAAACACCATACATTTCGTTAGGATTTCCATTCAAACTAAAATTACAAAAAGTCTATTTAGCATAATACATTTGCTTTATTTGGTGTATCTTCAGTTCAAATTCCATTACAAATTAAATGTTTAAAAGTCCTATATTACACAAAATTGACTCTTGTGTACTTTAAGCCAGGTTACAATGGCATTACCTCACCAAAAACATACCTGGAGTTGTGTTTTGTTCCATTCACACACATTTGAGTAACCCTTTATCATGATAATGTCTGTTTATATCTCCAAAGCTCAAAAATTCTCTATTCCACCTTGTGATGGAATGTGGAGTGTTTTCAGTTTGAGAAAAAAAAACAGAGCTTAAATATGCAGGAAATGGAGCAAAACACAACTCCAGGTATGTCTGTGGTGAGGAAACAACATTATAACATAAATCAGAAAATAATGTTACATGGGCTCTTAAAGGAATCAAATCACCACTGATTAGGTTAATGAGTAAATGTCTTGTATTGGACAGTTTATAGATATTTTATTATTAGAGTAAAGTAGGAAGCACAAATAACTGAACTGATACATATCTTCTATTTCTCTTCCACATCCTTATACAGAAATAAGGACAAGATGCCCAAGTCACTCAGACGCACAGGTTTAGATCTCTTCCCTCTGAATCTCTCTTCATGCAGCATACATTATGTAAATGAGTCTTCTACAGAGTCCTGGAGGGTGTATGAGAACTGACGGTGGCACACTTAGATCTGTTCCCTTAGTTCATCTCATACGAAGATCACTGTGAGTTTGTGAACAAACTAAAAAAAGAAAAAAGAACCTAGGGATGCAAATTTTGTACTTTTCTTTCAATTGTGAGCTGTAGCGTTAACACTAACTGATCAACCATGATTAAAGATGTTTAACTTTTCTACAGACTGCTTGTGTCCGTGGAGACGTAATTGGTTTGCCTTCAATGTTCCACAGTATGGCATTAAAGTTAACATTCTGGGATTCTTGCATTTATACAATTATGGGTGTTTTGAAAGGACAATTTGAAAAACATGCATTCTGTAAGCAGGGTCTCCCATCCAGAGATCTGATGTGCAAATGGTGGTGTCATGAGTTCATCTCAGTAGATATAGATACGTTTAATGTCATGCAGTTTTTTATGCATTACTTTATTAGTGAAAAATATCTCTGTAATATTTTTGACCCTACATTTATTGCATAATTGCAAGCAAATATAGAGTAGTAGGCAGAGGTAGATGACTGAAATGTTCTAAACTCTCAAGCCTCAAATGCAGGACAATACAGGATTGCTCAAACATAACGATGTAGGAACACTGTTACAAGGTTAAAAACTCATAAAAGTCCTTTTTACATTATTACTTTACTTATGCCCCCATTAACCAGTAATTAAACTGTACAGGACTTTAGCATGTTGTGATGTAATTTGAAACCCAGTAATTCCCAGAGTTCATTTCACAGTCAGATGATTTTATGCTGAAGTGAATGGACCCTTCTCTCTCTCTCACCTGCGTGCTGTCCGTGGATAATATTGAGAGTACCATCTGGCGCCCCTGAATCCTGCAGCATTTTGGCCAGAAGCATGGTGCACCCCGGGACCCTCTCTGAAGGCTTCATCAGGTACGTGTTTCCACAGACCATTCCGATTGGGAACATCCACAGAGGAATCATGGCCGGGAAGTTAAAGGGTGCAATGCCCGCGCACACACCCAGGGGGAGCCGATAGGTGTAAGTGTCCATGTCTTTGGTAATGGAGGGTAGAGTCTCCCCCAGCATTAGGGAGGTGATACTGCAGGCGTGCTCAACCACCTCTGAAATGAGAACGAGAGAAGAGAGAGGGAGATTTGCAGGTTTAAAATTGAAATCTTTGATCTAAACAAAAATAGGGCGGTTTCATCTGTTTCGTTTCCTGGAGAGTAGAGACTGATCCTACCCTTAAAACGGCACTCTGTCACTTTTTGTTTGATTTAATTTTCTGTGTTTTTTACTGCACTGAAAAATGTACAAGTATATGCATCTTTACTGTGAGTGGGTTTGCATCTTCACAAACCTGACTATTTGGGCTGCTTGTTTCTATGGAAATGCTGTTCCTCTGGCTATAATCTTCCACAAGTAAGTCTTAAAACGTAGCTATCTCTTTGTCGAATGTTCTGAAGTATGGTTTTAACTTTGTTTTTCAATGCACTCCGCCAGTCCCTTCTACATTCTGTTTGAATCCAGAAGGGTCTGTTATCGAACCATAGAGTGTGAAAATCTTTCACCCAAACATGAGACAATCCAACCACAGATGCAAATTTTGTATCATGTGTCTCTCAAATGGGGAAGCCATCTCCTCTCCAAACTTCTCAGATCATTTAGAACAAAAAAAAAAAAAATATATATATATATATATATATATATATATATATATATATATATATATATATAAAACTTCTTTTACCTGAGATAAGTAATAGTTAGGTGCTTCAACTGTTTAATTCTGCAAAAATCCAGTTTCTAAGTCCTTTATGTTGTTGTTTTTTCTCCTTTTTTACATGTAAACAGCCATGACACGAATGGACCATGCGTCTCTGACTGGTTACTCCACCTGCCAATCATGCCCTCTGAAAGACAGGATACAGCTCCAGACCCACTCGTCTTTGTAAAGGACATGCAGTTGCCACCTCCAGAAAGTTACACAATGTTGCTTTAACCAACTAGCTTTGTCTCATCTTACACCATGTTGCATCTGATATCAACTTACTAGGGACGATTCAATGTCCTAACAATTTTAGCCTCACAATTTTTTTTTTAATATTTATTTGATTTCATATTTTTGTTTCCACTCTTCTGTTTTTTGGAAGACTAAGAGATGTGACTCACCAATCTGTAACCTTTTTTTGTCAATTTTTTAAAAACATTTTTATCATGTGTGCACGATCTTGTGGCAATTTTGTCTCACGAGATCTTGTGGCACGAGATCCTGTACCATCCTTACAACTTACTCAGGGCAACTTATTTCTTACATGCTTAATATCGAAACCCACATGTAAACATCTCCAACAGAATGACTCATCCACTCATTTTGTCTCTATTTCAAACAGTGGCCATTTTCGCCCATCGCCTCCTGAAGTTGTAATAAACCTTCAAGCACCATTGGTTTAATTTGTGCAGTGCTGGCAGCCCCTCCTCAGGTGAGCTGTGCTTTTCAGATGAGAGATCTCAGAAATGAGTTTGGCACAAAACTACAGGCTCCACACTCACGGCTGCACCAAATATTTAGAGGGGAGAGAATTCAAACAGACATGCTTTTAAAATCTCTCTCTTTGTTATAACACAGCAAAACAGATGCACTTTCACCTCTTCCTATGGCCTGTCACGATAGCAAAGAACTTACATATTCTACTCTCTACAACTCGAATCTTATAGTACAGAAAAAATTGCTAAAATCTTCCCACTATTGCAAAGAAATTGTACACACGATAAATACTGAGCCCCCGAAATATACTGTTCCAGGGTTCATATATTGAATGATAAGTCCATATATTATTGCAATTATTGTGACAGGGCTACTCTTCCAAATTCACCTAAAAATAAACTAAACTAAAACCAAAACCTGTATTTATGTTAAAGTTTTCAGGTGGAGGGTCTGAAACCTCTTTGAGAAATGTTCCATAGTATAGCATTAAATCAATCTGTCTGCATGGAGACAAGCAGGTGATGCTTAAGGCAAAAAAAATATTTTATCAATAAAATAAATAAATAATAAAAAACAAAGGTAAATGCAAGATAGCTGAGTGAAGCAATATCTTGATGGGGACAAGCAGGTGGCAAACCTCATAGTGAAACACTTTGGCAGACAGTATTTTGCAGAAGTTAAAAAGATGTCATTAGTCTTTTCAATGTAATTCTAATTCATTGTATGTATGTATCTGTATGCAATAACGTATTTTATTTTTGCATTACATTTTTAGACCACTGAAAAATACTATATATATTTCATTACTTATATAAAATAAGTTTTTAAAAATTACAGTATGGGTAAATTGTCTTTTTTAGTTAGCCACAGTCCATATCCTTATCATTCCTGGTTTAGTCCCATGGATAAGTAACACTAGAAGCCCTGTTTAAAACACCACAGGGCTTGGCAACTGTGACCAATACACAATATCACACACTAGACCCCTGTATCCCTGTTATTATGACATCTTCACTGATCAGAAAACCATCAAAATGATCCTGGTTTTATACTTTAACAGTGAAAGTTATATGGTAAAGCTATATAACCCCCATGTGTACGGCCTCATAAAGAGCAGCGAAGCGTGGACTTAACGTTGTACTTACGCAGTCCCCTGAACACATCGCCTTCTGCATCGGCCAGAGTCTTCCCCTGCTCCAGTGTGATCAGTTTAGCCAGCTCTTTCTGAAATATAAAAGGTCATAGGTCAGTTTAAAAATGTGTCTTTGTTATCGTTATAGGACTGAATGATTTGGGAAAAATATGCAATTGCGAAAGGTGCATTATGTAACTTTTCTGGTGGAGTGCTAGTCAAATGCTTTTCTCCATGGAGACTTTGCTTTATCTAGAATGTTTCACAGTATAGTTTTAAACCTTTCTATCTTCATGGAGACCAAACCAGACCAAGTTACAGGTCAGTTCTGTGGAGACGTAACCCTGCTCACAGTCAGAATTCCTGTTTTTCTTGGTATTTTTGAGCTATAAAACCAAATGCCCTTTTAGAAAATGTAAACATAGAGCTGTTTAATGTCTTACTGTGACACATTCCAGGCAATTCCAATGACATATTCATAGAAACCAGCAGGTGGCACACCCCTGAACAAAGTTATAGTGCACCTTTAAGTTTTGATAACAGCATTCTGTTCAAAGTTCATATTTTTTTAAACGTATCTAGGAGAATTGACAATAAACTGACAAACTAATGCAAAAATCACATTTAGAACATGTTTGTACAGATCTAAACTCTAGGGTTAGCAGTTTTATGCAGAATAAAAATGATGGTATTGCCTGCTGTACTCTATCTACTGTCAGTAAAGCCTACTATGACTAAGAGATATGTGCACTGCTCAACTTTTCTACCTACTTATCTCCATACAGATATTACTACTTTGCCTGGAATATTTCATGGTGAGACATTAAACATATCCATCTTGCATTTATTCATTACAGGTTTTTCTATTGCACAAAAATGCCTTCTGTAAATAAAGGCGATTCTTCACAGATCTGACCTATAATGTAACGTAGTGCTGTAACCTGCTTGTGGCGGACAGGTGGCGGACCCTCCATTACAAATGTTACGCAGTGCACCTTTAAAATTAATTGAGAATAATAATTGTGCTATACACTGGGCAGGTCTGTACTCACGATGTTGTCTTTGATGAGTTGTTGGTATCGGAGGAAGATCTGCTGTCTGCTCAAGATGGAGGTCTCAGACCAAGAAGAGAAGGCTCTGGAGCAGGAGTTCACAGCAGCCAACATCTCCTCCTGAGTTGCTTTAGGAACACGACCTACCACCTCATTAGTGGCCTGAGGAGAATACAAAAAGTGATAGATGAGGACTTGATCAGTCACAATTTTCAATTATTGTATATTTTGTCTTTGTAAAAACAAATAAAAAATGTCCTTCAATATTAGTTTCCTGAACATAATCAATACAGATGTTAAGTAGTTGCTAAGTCAAATGTCTTTCTTCTAAAATCTGAACTCTACTCCAAGTCACATGCCTTTACTGACAGAAGACTGGCTGTAGACCTCTCCATTAAAAAGACCCAACATGATCATTTACAATTAAAGATTACTGAATTTTTATTATGGCGCAAAGTTAGTACCAAGCCCCACCCTAGTTTACGTTTTAATAAGTTACATTTTGTTGCTAGTGATTTTGTGTTGTTTGCAATAAATCAACTGTGAAAAGTTTATTCTCTTGCAAATAAGTGGTTGAGAAGTTAAGTGTTACAATATAGATGTTTCAAACCTAATTTTGATATCGATAAGGCTTGATACCAAAATCTATATCGTTAAAAGCTCAAATTTTTTATCTGGTATGATGTATTTTACCAAGTGACCTTATTAATTCTGATATAGATCCTGACCATATAAAAGCTTTTTTTCAGGGAAGATTTAATTATGTCTCATAGTTAAATAATGCTCTGTTAATACTTGAAGTAAACTGTTTAAATACTAGCTAGATGCAGCATTTATTAATATCCGGGTAACCATAATTTCACCACAATAATTAAGAGTACACACATGTAGATTAGAGCTGTCCATTTAATACAAATGTAATCACAACTTCAGTTATTGCTCATATCAATTACACAAATGTTGACATTGCACCGAAAGTTCAAACTTTGAACAAAACCACTCTTCTTTAATTTAGAGTGGCTTTAAAACATGAATCACAAAACATCAGTAATACATTCATTCTTAACCTTATAAAATTTGTTCAAAATTGAGATTTCAATGCATTTTCTTTCTCATAATTGAGCAAACCATAGTGTAGACAGAAAAAAAAAACATCTGACTAGACTACAAAAAGTCCATTGTTGTATTTTGTGCTGTCAAAGCCAAGGACAGTTACAGTGACAACTGAAAAAGTTCTGAACAGATTCATCTACTTGAAGAATTTTTAGACAGTTTCACCCATTCTCTGCGTATTTAGGATGCAATGACTGTTTGTTTGAAGTCCCTGCAAGGTGAATGCTGTTAAACTGAAAAGAATTGATGGTACAATATTTAATCATTGGCTTTGTTAGTGACAATGCAAAGGCTATACAGTGAGGGTCAAGTTAATAATTTATGCTTTAAACAGGATAGCTGCAAGGAAGAATGTTCAGAGGAAGCCTGGTTTGGATCTGTGTTTTTTGTAGTAACAGAAATTGGCAGTTTTTAAAAAAAGTATACAGACACTTGAAGAAAATGTATTATATGCTCTGGGAATAGTGTTCAATTTCAAACTTGATTTCGATACTAAGGAATAGACTTGATACTCAAAATCCCATTCTCAGCCTAAAAAAAGAGTGCTTTTTATTATCATTATAGGTTTTCACTATTTAATTATATAATTTTCTATTATGTTACCATGGTATATTACCATGTAATATCTGTGTAATCCCTCAGTCACCCAAACCCATAGTGGTCCATGGTGGTCTATGTGCTATTATACTTGTTCTGATACAACTCAAGATCAATGTAAGGCTATTCAGGAAAGATTTATCTCTGTCCTGTGAATGTGATTTGTTTAGTATCAATACCTGCTCAAATTAGTATCTAGATTTGATGATAGTTTTAGTATCAGTTAGTATCTATCTGGGAATCAAACCGAAGACCTTGTAATGAAACTGCACTATGCTACCATGCAATGTCAAACTAAAAGGTGGCGCCAACAATAAAAAACAAATAGGGGTGTGTTGCTTTAATCTTGTGGCATAACTCTGTAAAAAATACAAATATTAACCTACTTACCGGATTGTGAATGTCAATCCACTCTGATGTGTTAGATTCAACAAACTTGCCATCTATGAACAGTTTTGTGGTGGGCTAAACGAGAAAAAAATGCATTTTACTTTGCACTTGTGTCAGTACATCAATGACAGTTACGCAATAGCTTCCTCGATTTTATATTACATTTATTTTAAAGGGTTAGAAATTTATTAAGTCTTGAAAAAAATTGAATGTTTGTGTGGGAGTGGATAAAAAAATGTTGGACAAGTCGTGGTGCACATGTCTTACCACTGAAGAAGAAGAATAACACATGCGACCAAAGTGAACAGGAGCCTGTAACAACAAAATTATTTTTAATAATATAAAGACAGCATTCAAACCATAGCTTTAATTGAAAAATACGTAAGTTTGCATGTAACTTGACGGGGTACCCAGTTATGAAAGCAATGCATTTGAGCAACGTGTAACCTTCACTATAGTCTAACGGGCTTGCACGAGTGTCCCACGCTCTAAATTTAACACTTACTTCTTCAAACTCAGTATAGCTTAACGTAAATGCTACTTGCCTTTTTGGTGCAAAGCGACCGAAGAAGGAGCGCAGCCATCGTGAAATTCTCTTTCCAAATACCTCAAACAACCTGCAGGACAACAACAGCTAGCAAACAAGCTGCTACAGAAACGAGTGTTATTGATGGATGAGATGTATAAATCATATACGAGACAAGTTTAAATTGAATGTTCGTATCCAGGTCCTTTACACATCAGCAGAAGCATCAACGGCTAGTTCCGGTACATTTGGGCGGGTCTAATCACAACTCCAGCCAATCACATCAGGTCTTCTATCACCCGCCCATAAACGAAAAAGGCTTATTGGCTGTTGCTATAAACACAAACTCACTTACATTTTGGTGTCTGTTTCTTAAGAAAGAACTCAATAAATAACGGTAGTTGTCCTTAGATGTCTGTTACATTACGTAGCAGTTAATACCATGTTTTCATTTGTGAAATTTTAGGAATATTATCCACATTACAATGAAAGAATCGCTAGCTTCATCAATACAAACGGAGAACTTTTATTTCCTTCATTGGAGTTGTCAAGACGCAGCCATGTGGATTGAGTCTTTGGGATTTCCACAGTACAAAGTAGGTTAGCAGCAGCCTTAAGCATGTTTGACTGGTTTCAATAGCTTTTTATATTGTTTTATTTATATGTTACAGAAATGCTTTACTGAGAACTTCATCTCTGGGAGGAAACTCATTCACGTGAACTGCAGCAACTTGCCAAAACTTGGGATCACTGATTTTAACCACATGAAGGTATTATACAGTATTTACTATCAAAATTTAAGTTTTGATTAGTTAAAGGGCCCACATTACGCTATTTTGTGATCTATGATATAATGGTGTTTCCTCATTGAAAACATACCAGGAGTTGTGTTTTGTTTCATTCACACACACAAATTTAGGCTTAGAGTTCTTCTCTCAAACTGAAAACACTCCATTCTGTTCCATCTCCATTCTGTTCCATCTTGAGATGTCATGTAGTAATTCAGGAAGTGCTCCACTGTGTTTTTAAACTCCATACACCTTCACTAGAATCATTTGGACCATTTCCGCCCTGTAATTCTCTACTTAAATAAAGGTAAAATGTAGCTGTTAACTTGAAAACTCCCGCTTCATGACTTCACAAGGTGCAACAGAGCATTTTGAGCTTGGGCGACCTGGACAGACTAATAATAAAAGATCACTCAAACATGTGTGATTGAAACAAAACACAAAACTCTGGGTATGATATGCTTTAAGTCATCATAACATGACTTAAAGCTCACATGAGTCAATTTTGTGTAATATAGGACCTTGAAGATTCAATTACTCATTTTTAATACAACTACTTGTGCATGTTCAGCCTTAGATACTTTAAAAATAACTTCATAATCTCTATCAATTCTTCTATCAATCTTAAAGACCTGAATTCAGTTTTCTTTTATGTCATAATCAATCAGTAACCTAAACACGATTATGAAATAGACACATAAACATTTCAACACCACATTTTAACTAACTAAATTAATCAATACACAGAGGCCACATTTCATAGACGAAGTTTATCATATTTTCTGCGCAAGATCAATCAAAATCTATAATATGAATTAAAACACTATTAGATGTTAATCGATGTATTTTTGAAACCATGCTTTAGCTGTAGGCCTAATTGTGGTATTGGCAGATTTGCATTAGCCTTTACTGACACATCGATTGAACCAATTCCTTTCAAACTGCCTTGTTAAATGTGTCTATTTTCTTTATTACCTCTTGAAATGTCTCATATTATGTTTACAACTAAAATGCCTCTTTGCTTTTCCCTTGAAGGTCAGATTAAATAGGCTAAAAGCATCTTAATTTAATAGACAATTTTGCCAAGAAAAAAACAACTTCTTTAGTTAGAAAAAGATATGAAAATTGTATGCATTAAGACATGGGCTAATTATTTCGCATACAAATTTGCTGGGTTTCACATTGATGTAATTGGTACTTGGCACTGAAATCACACTGGGGGTGTTCTATGTGTATGCCTATTGGAGGAATGTTCAACAGTTACCATGGTGACATAATGCACACATTAGTAAAAATTGCCCAAAGTATTTTATTATATTATGAAAACTCAAGAAAGTTTAAAGGGCACATTTTCAGGAGCCCGTGAGCAATACGAGTGTTCATGGTTCTATTTAGAAGTTTGAGTTTCAACAAAAAGAGAGTGACTAACTGAAAAACTGTTGACTAATGCTCAAATTTTACGTGTGCACACAAATCATCTCACCTGTTGTAATTCCAACCAAGTCAGCCCTTTCTGGTCAAAGTGTGTTAAAATTAAGATCAGATTAGGTCTAATTTAAAGGTGCATTGAGTATATTTTCTGGTAGAGGGTCTGTCAAATGTTTTTTTTGTTTTTTTGTTTTTTCAGTGGAGTTATTGCTTTGTCTGGAATGTTCCACAATATGGTAGTACACCTTTCTATCTTCACGGAGACCAAACCAGACCAAGTTACAGGTCGGATCTGTGGAGAGGTGACCCCGCTAAATCAGCATGTCTGTATTTATAGGTATTTTTGAGCTATAAAACCACCTGTAATTGAATAAATGCAAGGTAGATCTGTTTAATGTCACACTGTGGAACATTCCAGGCAGAGCAATGACATCTCCATAGAAACAAGCAAGGGACGCCCAATCAAAAAGTTACATAGTGTACCTTTAACTAAACTTCTAACAAGTGCATTCAGAAAGCTTCACACCCCCAGAGAATATTGATAACATGAGTTGCAAAGTATCAATAGACAGAAATGGTTTGTTCCATGTGAATCCTTTTAGCAAATGTCAAGAGGCAATGTGGTGCAGTGGAATGCTCACAACAATTAAGTTTTGGATTCAATTCCCTGAACCTGTGGGGCCTTGTTTAAAGTAGGGATGTCAAGATTATCAGTAACTGTAAGTATTGTGATCACTGTGTTATCGTAAGAACTACAAAACGATAATTACGAGAATCTTAAAGGCATAAAAAGTAATTGACACAATAAACAAACAGCAATAAAAACAATAAAGAGATCTTATTCATTACTGATTTAGATACCAGGATGATCATAAAAACAGTCTTTATTTAGATATAAAAGTGATTTTCAGCATTAAATCATAGCACTATATTCCCATCTGGCCTTGTATCTCTGTAATCCTTCAGTGGTCCAGGTAGGTTCCATAGTGGTCCATGGGTGTATACTAGTCTATGTGCTCTTATACTTGTTCTTGCAGCTCAAGATCATTCTAAAGCTGTTCAGGAAAGGTTCATTTCTGTCTTTTTTTGTTGATATCTGCTCAAATGAGTATCTAGTTTCGATACTAGTTTTGGTGTCAATTAGTGTCGGATTTTTGATGCCCTGATTTCTCTCTAAGCAAATTTTCTTGAAGGTGCACTATGGAACATTTTGGTTGGGTGTCGATATGTCACTCCTCTGCCTGAAATGTTCCACAGTATGACATTAAACAGCTCTACCTTACACAGTTATTACAGGTGATTTTGTAGCTCAGAAATACCTAAAAAACCTTCATTCTAACTGTAATCCGGGTCACCTCTACACAGATCTGACCTGTAACTTGGTCTGGTTTGGTCTCCATGAAGATAGAAAACTTTAATACCATACTGTGAAACATTCCAGACAAAGCAATAGCATCTCCATGGAGACAAGCATTTGATAAACTCTCCACCAGGAATGTTACACAATGCACCTTTAATCATAATTTCAATTATTTCAATATTTGGGATTTCTATGTTTTCCATAATCAAGCAGCTCTTCCACTACATGCCTTAATTACATGACCAAACCTTAATCCCTTTCATCTATGAATCATCCACAGCTCGAAGCAAAGTTAGATTTTGTTTGCTAGCTTAAAACCGTCCTTCAGTTTGCCGTGTGCGCTTCAAGGCAAAGCTGATGTTTTAATCTTGGTGAAATCGCCTGTTGCATCTCTCTCTCAGTTGGAGCTCGCACTAAATAGGTTAAAACTGTAAATATTAGCTTTTCAAAGGCCTGTCTCCTGGTGTGGTGTCTACAGGTAATCTTGTCTTTATCAAAGAGGTTTTTTAAACATTTAATTATGAAATCTTATCTTACGCAATTGATACATGTTATCCTCAAAGACTGTCTGCTATAAAGTACATTTTGCTTACTTAACTCTATTTAGTTTGTAAGTCTAAGAAATGTTTTTTACTCTTGTTTTAAAATAGAATAAATATTAATACTAACTGAAACTCACATCACATTTATGATTCCATGGAAACAGAATATAGAACCATTAAACCATACTTTGGAACAGTCTGCATGGAGATTAATGCATTTCATACCGTAGTATGGAATATTATGGCCAAAAGAACACCAGCATCACCATAGAAACAAGTAGGAGTGGGTCAAACTAAAGGCCAAATAAAAGTCAGGTTTGTGGAGGTGCAAGCCCACTCAGAGTAAGGATGATTTTACTTGTTTAAAAACATGACACATTTAAGGGAGTGCTTTTATTTCTGGCTATTTTTGGTTTTAAAATTACACGGTGGGGCTTTAAGTGTAGAATAAAGAGTAAATGGGCATTTTTATATAGCGCTTTTCCTTGAAGGCCGTCAAAGCTCTTTACAACAAGGTACCACTCACTCATTCTTACACCAGTGTACGCAGACACTGGGGGCGAGGTGGGTTAAGTGTCTTGCCCAAGGACACAACAACAGTATTCATCTGTGGGAGCTAGAACTGCACCGCCAACCTGTGGATCAGTGGATGTGACCACTCAACCATTGATGATTTCTGTTGAGAGCGGGATTCAATCCGCCAACCTTCAGATCAGTGGACAAACGCTCTACCAGCTGCGCTACTGCCGCCTTATTTTGATAATTCTAAATGACCAGTTTGTGAGCTACTTCTTTCATTTGACACACATCAAAATCTATACCAATATAACAATGTGTTTAAATCTCAATGTTTATTTCAGTTCTGTAATTTGATATTATGACATAACTATCTCCGTCTCAGTCTGAGCACTTATTAAAGGTACATTGTGTAACTTTTCTGGTGGATGGTCCATCACATGCTTTTCTTCGTGGAGATGTTATTTCTTTGTCTGGAAAGTTTCATGTTCTGGAATTAAACCTTTCTATCATCATGGAGACCAAACCAGGCCAAGTTACAGGTCAAATCTGTGGAGAGGTGATCCCGATTACAGTTAGAATGCCTGTTTTTTAGCTATTTTTGAGCTATAAAGTTACCTGTAATAATATTTTTTAAAGAACTGTGTAAGGTAGAGCTGTTTAAGGTTATACTGTGGAACATTTTAAGCAGAGGAGTGGCATATCGACACCCAACTAAAATGTTACATTGTGCACCTTCAAGAAAATTTGCTTAGAGAGAAATCAGGGCATCAAAAATCAGACACTAATCGACACCAAAACTAGTATCGGATCAGAATGCCTGTTTTTCTAGGTGTTTTTGAGCTATAAAACCACCTGTAATTGAATAAATATAAGGTAGAACTGTTATATGTCATATTGTGGAACATTCCAGGCAGAGCAATGCCGTATCCATAGAAACAAGCAGATGATGGACTCCCAACCAAAAGTTGCATAACGCACCTTTAAACCTCAGTTGCCTCTGGCGCTGTAAACATGTTCTTAATCAAAGGCCTGCCCCCCGGTGTGCCCCCTACAGGTGATCTGCGGTCATGTGCGGGAGCTGTTGGGGATCACAGAGACCCCGTGGTCCCAGAGCATAGTTGACCCTCCACAGGACGTCAGGGCCCTGTACCTGGAGCAGAAGAGTCCGACCGGAGCCAAGGCCGACAGACTCACATACCAACAGTTCACCAGCAGTCTGCAACACTGAGAGGAGGGGCTGATGTGAGAGAGGAAGGATATAAACAGGTTTAAATGAATCTGTGGGGTTCTGTCTGATACATGGCTTCTGACTGTTTTCAAGGAATTATTAATATGTAAAACTTTAGGGGGCAGGAGTGCTACTTGGACGTGTAGAGATCTAAAATACAAAGTTGAAAAAGCTGAGGCACTCAACAAGAATTAAATAATTAAATGGTAATAAAAAGCTTGTGATGATTTTATACCTTAGAATTATTCATATATATTATTGTATACTGTTTTTTTTATTTAAAGGTGAAGTATGTAACTTTTATGGTGGAGCAGGTGTTTATGATGTTATCTGTCCAAGAAGTTACTGCTTTGACTAGAACAGGGGTGTCAAACTCAAATTCACAGAGGCCAAAATTAAAAACTGGGTTGAAGTCGTGGGTCAAACTAAATATTTATTGCAAAATTTCAACAACATGTTCTACATGTTTTCACTTCTTTCGAGATATGTAATGTTAAACCTTTTCTTATTTAAATAAATGTCTAATAATAATTTTGCTTAAGCATTGAATCCAGAACATGCATAATACAAAATAATAACACAATTTTAAATAAATAATGTTTCTATAGCCTATCTGTAGCCGGCGGGCAGCTCTAATACATATTTGATATGATCTCGTGAGCCAAATATAATTATATCAATGGCCAAATTTGCCATGTCTGGACTAGAATGTTCCATGGCATTAACTTCAATTTCCATGGAAACATACAGGCTAAGTTACAGGTCAGATCAGTGCTGTAGAAAATGTTTTTAAGGTATTTTTGAGCAATAAAAACACCTGGATTTGAAAAACAACAAGATGAATACATTTCATTTTAACATGTGGAACATCCCAGGCAAAGCAATAACATCTTCATGTCCTGGCTTTAATAATAAATGCTAAAAACTAAAGATTATAATGCTTTGACAGATGGTTTACTTTACAATTTACTCCCCACACTAGTGGCAAGCTACTTCCAATTGTCTTTAAATTAAAATTATCACCCCTCTCTCTGTAACTGCTGCAGTAAGCCTCATCATTTTGGTCTTAAAATGTTCGAATTAATCTGCTCTACATGATCCTGGGGTTTTTATTTTGCTATTTTGCATGCAATAAATTTCTATTCCTAATATTGAACTTGGCTCCAAATTCGCCCTATAACTGCAAGCCTCATGAGCTTCATTTGACTGGAGGCAAATGCTATAGGTGACGTCACACTCCCTTAGTCCACTTCTTTATACAGTCTATGGTGGTGAGGCAAAGGTATCAGGTTCTGCGACTGCTACAGCTACAACACACGTACAAAATACAGCATTTCCTGGTTTGGTTTACATTTCAGCTCAGTGTAACGGGTGGCGTGCGTCATGGAGGAGGTGGTGATATGAGTTGGTCCCACAGTAAACCACAGAACAATGATCTGAGCGTTTTACAGTCACCGCCTGGCCACCTGTCAGCTGACGAAGGCTCCACGCGCTGCTCCGGGTCACACGCTGGACGCGACATTAACACCTCCCACCACCAGAATGCTCCCTGTCTCTGTGCAACCACTCAACTGTATCCAGGATATAAGAGCTGTGACTGCAGGGTGCCTTTCCTCTATGTATCAGCCTGTATGAATATTCAAGAGGACATGTTGTATTAGGCAAAAGTGAGATTTAAGCCATGTTAGAATGCTGTTACATCCGCAAAAACATACCTGGAGTTGTGTTTTGTTTCATTCACACTTTGAGTAACCTTTTATTATTGGTCTGTCGAAATCTCCAACGCTCAAAATGCTCTGTTCTACTATGTAATGTCATCAAGTTTTCAAGTTAACAGCAACCTTCTACTAGTCTGATTCATCAGCCGGTTTTACTTTGTTTCACTACAAACAAACTCGTCTGACCTCGCAGCCTTAGATTTCGTTTGCTCGACGGTATGCGGGTACTTTTTTAAATTTAACCAATCACAGCTATTTGGTCATGACGGATGTAATGCGCTGCTAACGGGGTTAACTGGTATATCCTTTTTTTGCTTTTCCCAAATCCCGTAGGAAGAAGGTCAATATCGTCTTTCCCTTTGATAAAATTCACCAAACATTCACTTTATTCTGGCTTTAAATCCTCAATCTTGGGAATCGTTGACAACACTGACTATATCACTCTTTGCTGTTTGGCTGGTGCCCCAACTTGCACTTCCGGGGTTTTTGTGAACCATCTATTGTATTTTGATTCCTAACCTAGTCGCTGGAGAGAAATGAAATTGAGCGGAGGCACTAGGTGGCACCAGCCTGGCTAAGCATTTACATCTTGTTTAGCAGAAATTGGACATTCCCGGACTGAAATTACCCAAGCGAGTAAGTGGAGGATATCCTGTATTTACCACATGACATCACAAGGTGGAACAGAGAGGTTTCTGTTTGAGAGAAGCACTCAGACTAAATATGCAGAATTTGTGTGAATGAAACAAAAGACAACTGCAGCTATGTTTCTGACGTGGAAACAGCATTATAACATACATCAGAAACACAAGTGCTTTAACCCATATTCCACTACAAGGAAGACCTGATTGTGAAATTATCTTATGCAGACTAGTCCCGCTTGTTATGTTTCTATATCTGGCGTGTAATTGCCTCGAAAGGAGCCGCCTGGACTTGTTTAAACAGTTAGTGTCTCGGTGAATGCCTAACCCACTCACGCCGTACGAGTATTGATTTCCAGTAAATGTAACTGGATGGAAGTATTGATCGGCTCTGATATCCACAGAGCCGTTCACAATGACCAGGAACAACGCCTCGGAACGGCCAGGGGACAGGCATTACAATAGGTCAATCTACTCTATAGGCCCATAAACCAGTGAGTGCTCTGCAGAGACTGAATGAAGACCACGGAGATTTAAAGGTCCTATATTACGCAAAATTGACTCTTGTGAGCTTTAAGCCGTGTTATAATGTTGTTACCTGCTCAAAAACACACCTGGAGTTACGTTTTGTTTCATTCACACATTTAAAGGTTGTATAGAGGATTTTCCAAGGAACGAGAAATCCAGCGACTGTTTGTCCTTCTTCAAATGTTGCGCATGCGTGAAACCACCCCCCCTCCCCCACAGCTCCCTACGTAGAAACGCCTCCTCCCGCCTCCTCCTTACGCCAGAAACAGGTTTGTTTACAGCCGGTGCGCTGCACATGACTTGTAAACAACTAACTACAGTGTTGGTTAGGCAAGGCGGAGAAGTGAGGAGCGGGGGGAGGGGGTGTGCGGACATTTCGTGCGCGGACGAGAAGTGAGGAGCAGGGAGAAGAGCGGAGCAGGGAGAGGAGAGAGGAGAGAGGGGAGCGGTGCGCGGAGATTCCGTGCCCGGAGAAGTGAGGAGCAGGGAGAAGAGCGGAACGGGCAGTGGGGAGAGGAGCAGGAAGGGGTGCAGAGAAGGGTGCAAGGAGATTCCGTGCAAATGAACTAGCTACAACACGCAGCAGCAAGCTTTCTTTGCCTTGAAAATTACGTTTTCAGACATATGATATCGCTTTCGTGTCCTGAAAAACATTTGTCTAGCTCTTGGAAATAAAGTACGTTTTCATAATAAGCAGAAGTGACCTGTCCAGGAGTAATTTGGCGACCAGTGCGTCAGTCTTTAGACCCTTTTTCTGCTTCAGTTGCACCATCGCTGGAATGAATCTACAAGAATCACCTTAGTTTGGCTTCGCTGCTTTTCCCCTTGTCTTCTTCTTTCAGCGACCTCAAAAACGGACTTTCTTTTGCGGCGAACTGCTCCTGGATTCTTGTCTGCCATTGCAACAAACTTTGTGCTAACTGCGAGGAAGATATAGGTCAAAAAAGCCGCTAAGAACCGTTGCGTTGGTGGAGTAAACAGCGTCTTGCGTCTGTGGACTGTGTGACAGGCGTACGTAAGCCACGTAACGGCAGCGCGCAAGCAAGTCAGTTATGCTAGAAACGTAGGGAGTTTGATTGACAGCCTATCAGCTATCACATAACGAGGCAGTGTCGTTATCTATTGGCAAATGTTTAGCCCCACCACGTCCAGAGTTGATGAATTTTTATTCTCTTTTTTTTTTGGTCATCATAATTACAAGCCTACTGCACCTCTATAATGCTATCATTGACAATTTGAAACAAAAAAAATCCTCCATACAACCTTTAAGTAATCCTGCATTATTAGTTTATTTACATCTCCAAAGCTCTAAATGATCAGTTCTGCCTTATGATGTCATGTAGTTTTAGTTTTCAAGTTAACCGCTACCTTTTACCTTCTGTTTTGTTGCAGACTGGAAATTCCAGGGCTGAAATCATCCAAATGATTCTAGTGTGTATGCAATTTTAAAACACAGTGGAGCACGTCCTGTATTACCACATGACGTCACAAGGTGGAGCAAAGTGTTTTCTGTTTGAGAGAAGAACTCATCCTAAATATGCAGGGGATGTTTTTGATGGGGAAACAACATTATAACAGATATTAGAAAATAGTGTAACATGGGCTCTTAAAAGAATTTCGAAACAACATTGAGAGATTAAAAGTGGTAAATATGTATTATAAAAGTGATCATATTGTTATCTAATAATGATTTTAAAAGGGTTGCAAAAATAAGTCAATAAAAATACAGAAGAATAAATACTCAACAGAACTGAAATATTAAGGCTACGTTTACATGATGACACAAAAGTGGCATCGCGTCTTCACTTTTTAGGAAATCTGTGTGCATACGGTGACGCAAAAGTGTGTGGAATTCGATTGGATATGCATGCCATCCAACATGTTTGTTTCTGTGTACTGTAGGTATGTGACGTAAATGCGTACACAACATGAGCAAATCTGACCAGATTTTTGCGTCTTGAGTGGAGCATATTCAACTTTTCCACTCTGGAGGGTGGTTTCCGATTTTTGCGTTTTTAAGCCCCAAAAACGCCGTCACCATCTAAACAAAAGGCACTTCCGATATAATATTTTGCAGTTTTTACCTGCAAGCGTTCTCGTGTAAACAGGCCCTAAAAGAACAGAATCTCAACATTCCTTCTGATGGTGATGAAGCTAACTAAAGGCACTGCTCTGTCTGAGACTCTGTGACTCAAGTTAACTTTAATCTGAGCTTTCTGACATTCCCGTTTAAATAACATTACAATCTTTTTTTTTCAGTTAGTCACTAGTTTTCATTGAAACTCAAACTCCTAAACATGAAAATTTACAGGCTCCTGAAGATGTGTTGTGTAAATCCTGTTTGAAAATACAATGGTTTTTCAAGATATTTTTAGCCATCTGTGATTGAATAAGTAGGTAGATGAGCTCAATGGTAAATAGCTTTGAGACTGTTGTATAACTTTTATATTGAAATACATTGCCTCAAGGTTTTGCATTTGTCCAGTACTCCTTTTGGTGAGTGAAGGAGTATTAAATAAGAACTGTCATTACACATGCAGCAAATGACCCTGTGACAGCCCCATTTATCTGCGTATGTGACCAGAACATGGAATAGCCTATATGATGAATGATAATGATAATTTTCTACACATTAACAATTTGTTGTCATATTTGTCAAAAGCAATTTAGAAGTGCACTGTGGCATTAAAGGGCTTATGCCCTTTATAATGCTGTTTCCTCATCAAAAACATACCTGGAGTTGTGTTTTGTTTCATTCACACAAACCCTGCATATTTAGGCTTAGTTCTTACACAAAAAACACTCTGTTCCACTTCGTGATGTCATGTGGAAATACAGGAAGTGCTCCGCTGTGTTTTTAAACTCCATACACCATCACTAGAATCATTCGGATATTTTCAGTCCTGAAATTTAAAAGATTGAGAACTTTGCACATCATTTACTTGAGACGGGTGCATTGGAGGAGAGGGAGAGGGAGAAAAATCCCGCACACCGTCTTACTTGCAAAATGTGAGATCTATTAGGACAAACAGTGCAATGTTTCGGCACTAGTTTGCATGTTGTACTGTTTGTCCTAATAAATCTCACATTTTACAAGAAAGACGATGTGCAGATTTTTCTCTACAGTCCTGAAATTATCTAGCCAGGCTGGCACCATCTAGTGCCTCTGCTCAGTTTCATTTCTCTCCAGCAACTAGATCAGGACTCAAAATACAATAGAGGGTTTGCAAAAAACCCCAGAAGTACAAGTTTGGGCACCAGC